CAATAGTGGTTGATCAATTCAATTGAATTAATGATAAAGACTTACAGACTATACCACCAATAAGAGCCATATTATCCCCGTTGGGAAAGAAGTAGCCATCGTGGGTCAGTTATCTAGTGGATAACGCTCTCGTGTTTGAAACCATCCACATTGAGTTTTATTCCTAGTGGGAATAACATCTCTTACTGGGAGGCAGGTACATCCAGATGACGAATCCCAAATAAAACGAAACGCTGTTCCTGACATTATTTATATTCTTGTTTGCATATCTACATGTGTATTGGTGTGTGTATGTGTGTGAAAGATGTATTCAGTGTTAATTTCACTACTGATCTGTATGAAGTTACTTGTACTCGACACTCGTACAGAAAATTTTAAGTCTAGGATGAATGTGGTGATTAAAGCATATGAAATCCGGTTGATTCATCTTGAAATGTTTAAATTCACTGATGTTTTGTAAGCAATGAAAAGACGAATATCAACCGAAAAGAGAAAAAAACGTGTAAAGCTAATCACCTGCGAAGAAAAATGTTTATGTTTATCAAAAATACCTACAGGGAATAAATTCTCCTCATCAGATAAATGCTTTTCAACTTTTTTGCATAAACTCTCTAGACCACGTTTCACCTGCAACGGCAAAAGAGGTGCAAAATGAGATAGTTAATATAATGCAGAAACATATAGATGACTCGTTATGAAAAAGTAATGACATACATACACATACACAATAGATGCTAAGACAGGGATATAAATATTGTAAGATGTTGTATAAGTGAACAACGACTTCAGGTGTCATATTTTACATCATCAGCAGAAGTTAACATTAAAAAATACACCTGAATCCCTGTAGAATGCATTCAGTAACCATATTCACCTTTGTACAGAAGTCAGTGTTCCTGTATGGTTCAGAGACTTGGCGCGTTACGAAAAGCATTTCCAACAAACTACAGACATTCGTCAACAACTGCTTACGCTCGCTACTGAAGATCAGATGGCCAGAAAGAATAAGCGACAAGGAAGTCTAGGAACGAACCAACCAAGAACCTATCGCTTAACAAATATGCAGAAGGAAGTGGAGATGGATTGGGCATAAACTGAGAAGGCCGACTGGGGACATCACGCGTTAGGCCAGGTCGTCGAGTGGAACCCCGATGGGAAGCGACGAGTTGGGCGTCCGAGTTGAAGGTGACATGGAGGAGATCGTGCGGGGAGGAAATGAGAGCTTGTGGGCTGTCGTGGAGCCAGGTTCAAAAGACTTCAGAGAACAGAGCGCATTGAAGACATGCTACTGAAGCGGTATGTTCTATTAGGAACGCAAGGGACAAATAATATAATAATAATAATAGAAGTCAGCGAATCATATTTATTATGTGATGGCTAGTAATATCGACCAAAATGCTTGAAATTAAAGAGACTAAGCGATGCACAAATTCAGAATTGATTATCTAAACCAGTAAGCCATTATGCACTTCAGGAACTTCAACTAGACAGTGTATACTTCTAAAAGTTATTGTAAATGCGTAATACATGGTCCAGCCATCTCAATCGATAAGAGTTTAAACAAATAAGCGTGATAGTTCTTCACTGGAACAAACCGTCATCAACTAACTTTAGTTACATCTCTACACACAATGATGAAGACAACAGATTTTATATCATTACTGTTTTGTTAGACGGAAACAAGTTTGAGTGAAAAGATCTGGCTGTCATATGACATTGCCATACAATCCTAGAAACAGAAAAGCTATCCAGTGTGTTGAACTGTATACCGGTTCATTGAAGTCAGTTAGTCAGATTTAGGTAATATGAACTAGTTCAGCTCTATGGGCTGATGAAGAGTTCGACCCCGGAAAAATGAAACAGCTGTCTGGTATTCAGATCACTCTGAACTGACAGGCGAAATCTACAAATCAACTTAGTTGGTTTCCAACTACCCAAGTTGTTCAGCAGTATACTAGGCCGATTATATCATAACATAGTATGTTTAATAATAACCTAGTAAACTGATTGATTCGACTCTTCTCACCATCAAGTTTCGTTTTGTAACTATGAATTTTAATCTCTGTGCAATTTTTTTTGTACGAATAAAATACACAAGCAAGCACGCGAAAATTGTACACGGATTGAAGAAGGAAACTTTTATCTTCGACTAAATTTCGGACACAACTTCACATTATTGGCTAATCATGCGTTCTTAGCGAACATACACATGCTTAATGATAATGATGGTGGTGGCGGTGGGGGTAATGTGAAAAATCACTACTATAGGGAGGAATTATTAATAAATAAATAAATAAGTAATTACTAATAACTGAATGAGTGCTACCTAGACTGCAGAAGTTAGCTAATAATTACAAAAAAACTAATAGCAACAAGAATAAATAAATAAATAAAAAGGTAGAATAAACAGAAAACTGTATAATTAAAAAAAATTGTAGTTGCTTGCTTATCATTAACACTTATAAGGTTAATTGAACCCCAGGAAAATGTGATTACGAACAAAATAAATCGACTGTTTACCTTGAAGATCACACACACACACACACACAGATAATAAAGTAGATAAGTTGCCAGCAATAGATTGATTATTTGGCGCCAATGAAAGCCTAAGTAACTCAATGTTCACAAGAATAAACCATTTATATGTCAATTATTCGGATTGAAAATTGAATCGAAATGCACTCAGTAATCTTGTACATATTCATACAGTAAGCAATGAGTCAAACCTATTGTATGAGAGTTAGTGATACTACTATCTGGTTGCACAAACCTCTGAAAAATCTGAAATCTCTTTAAACCAATTAGCTACAGCTCTGATTGCAAATAAACATTTAAGGCATGCGGTAATGGCGGGGGAAATATACTTCAAGGATTCATTTGTACTTTGAATACAGTTTATGTGATCAGCTGATTTCATTAGAAGGTTGTACAGTTGATACTTTTTTGTTATCTTGAAACTCTTCGTCTTCTTGATTGAAAGATTCGAGGAATACTGTGTCTTTATCCAAGAGAGAATATAGAGGTAGTCCACAGCGGTAGTTTATCCTTTACACACCCACGAATCAATTATTGACAGGAGAAAATAGTCCGAAACATGGTTGGAATGGTAGTCTTCTTCACTACTTGGCACAGTCTATTCTTCAGTATCTCTGACAATGTATATCCCCTTGAATTCTATATTCATAAATAGTGTCCTCTTGGAAAAGTTTACGCCTCACATTCCTCTCAAGAAATCTTGAGGGAGAATCATTTTCCATGAACATTCTTCGAAGTACTTCCAGCTCCTCATTTACTGCATCATCCCTACAAATTATTCTACTTCATGTGCATAGCGAATGGATTCGATTTCTTTTCTTGACTAGTGGAACTCTGCTTTGATCACTCTAGATTTGTTTTCTGTAAATCGATCTCCTCAGGGAACCATGATGTCTTCTTCTCAATAGAACGTCTGGGAAGTGGAATTCTGAATAATTTTCAGTTTCCATAGTAAATATCATTGACTAATGACATTCATTGAACTTTCATAGTATTCATTCAAAGTTACTAACCTTCTCACAGATAAAAAATTGTCATCCATGTACTGTTTTCCAGAATGACGATGAAACAATCAGCCAGAGTCCACCAATAGTTAACCCATTGCTACGACATACGTTTGTCGATAAAGTTAATTATAAAATCTGAATTGTATGTTAAAGGTACATTGCAAGAGCAATTCCTTCAGAAAAAATTTAGTAATCGCAATTCCAGGCTTGTTGATCTCAAAATAATCATATTGAAAACATACTTTATCTAAAGAATATGACGCATAAAAGCTATATATTTGAAACAATATCATCATATATTTACTTGTCAAGGCGGAAATAGAAGACATGCTGAAGCATCAGTCATACTCGAACCAAAACCCCTTTGTGTGTTTAGAAACAGTTTGTTCTTACGCTAAAATACCTCGGTAATAATCGTCTTACCTTATCACAAAGGTTGGTCTCAAAACTTACTATTCTCTCTTGATTACCTTTCGAAAGTGGCTTTAGAAATAACTAGAGTCCCCTAACCTGAGTAACGCTGAAAACAGATATCCGAGTTCCTTAATCATGCAACAAATTATTGGAACGGAGCATAAAATGAATGCAGTGAAGTCACTTGAACCCATTTATGAACTTAAAGGTTTGTTAAGACAGCCATTGAAATGAAGTCGATCTGGTTTTTAGTGTGTCCATCTGGTAAAATCCATGTTGCTTTGTGAATATCCTTGTGCTTGAACACAGTACCCTCCAATCACCAGATCGTTGAATGCACAGAATTCTACAAGCAGTTCTCCGTTCTCATTCATTTCACCGAGCGCTTCTCGACCTATGATGAGTTCTCTTCGTATGTTGTGCGCTCCGAGTTTGACATTCATGTTGCCCATTACAATTTTGATGTCACCAACTGGGGTTTTGTCCAGTACTGATTGCAGTTGTCTGTAGAATTCCTCCTTCATCTCTTCATCTACATTATTTGTAGGTGCACAGTGTAGCATTGTATGATAGTGACTTTCCTTCCTTTTGACTTGACTCTTGCTGTTATGATCCTGATCCTGCAGGAGGAGATTGGTTCCCACTGTATAAGAAAGAGCCTTCGATGCTGCTCTTCGAGACATCATGCTAGCCACTCCGAAACTCAGTGTGCTAATGGTTGTCGTCTGTGTGACAATATCGGAGTAGATTATTGATTCTCCAGTTGAAAGTTTGGAGAGTCCACTCCCATTCGATCTGCTGATTCCTCACAGATTCCAAACACTTCAGTGCCATACCTCCTCATTTCTTTAGCAATCTGGGCAGCCTTAGTAGGTTCATACATTGTGCAGACATTCCATATCCCCATGTTGACATTCGCTTTCATCGAGAGAGTAGAAGGAACACCGGCTAACTGGCTTCCCGAAGGCCTTCATCGACTGGCGTCATTTCGTCTCCCCAATTCCAGCGAGGAATAAGTTTGTTTTTATTTTTTATATTTTCTTTGTGCTTTGAAGTTTCTGTAGCAGTTGGATTAGTTTCACGGGGTAGGGTGGCTGGCCCTTCGACCAACCTTCTCTCTTTATTCAGGCTTAGGACCGGCTAGTTACTAGTGAACTGGTTAGCCAGGAGAGGTTCATTAGGAGGCTTAAGTCACCTCTATGTGTCCAACAAAAATTTATCATCACATTGCACCTATCTTAGTGAATTCATCTTGTAACATACGGTTGTTGAACTAATAATGTTCTTTTTCGCCTTTATCGGTCTTCATTCTTATTTTCCCCTTCAATATAGTCTTCTTACTTGGCCGATCTTCATTTCCCTACTCCTTATTGTTATTATTAGAACACAAACATGGTATAGCAAGGGCACCAAAAAATATGCAACACAAAATAACAACTATGTGAAGGCGTAAACGATGGGAAATAGATAAAAATAAAACACGATAAAAATTGTAAGATTGGAAGGGCAGTCCAGTATGGTACATTCAAAAAACGAAACAATCAGTACTTTTCAGAAATAAAGGACACGAGGAAGCTACAGCATGACCACCACTGGTTTCGATTCTGAGTCATATCTGATAACGTCTCAAGCCTCAGACTTGCGTGATCACTCGGACCCCAACTAAGGAATCATGATGCACCAACAGATGCCAACACAACACGACTATCCTTCATCCCACGAGGCTATGTCATACAGTGACCACCCCTCTACTTCTACTATCCAGTCCCAGGGCTAGTAAACAATAAACGGCATGGAAGTCGTTGGGGACAACATGCGTAACACATGTCCACACCGTGGAAGCTGGTGTTTCCAGATGACTTCACGCCAAAACACATGTTGTTGTACTTAACAATTACTTACAAGGTGTTGCCACTGGATACGAGCAATCCTACGAAGACAGTGATATTCGAACACACAGAGTCGTCGCAAATCCTCAACTCGAAAAGGCCAGGTTTCACAGGCGTAGAGAGGAACTGCTCATACCGTAGTGTTGTAGATCCGACCTTTTACGGTCAGGCTAACGTCGCGATGACGCGAAAGATGGCCTAGATTGACGTATGCCATTCTGGCTTTCGATATGCGGTTGGAAATTTCATCACACAGTTCCACCAGCACTCACACACAACTACCCAGATTCACGAACTTTTCGACCACTTCCAACGGCTAACCACCAAGGGTGAGCCCAGGCACAGGCTTGTTCCAATCTTGGAAAAGTACTTTGCACTTCAATAGTGTCACATTTGTTCTTCTCCCATTTCCATTTTTGAATAAGGTTTATGGGGATTCAGTTTTTGATTTCAGGTTGGTATTCATCGTGAACTGACATCAATTGGAGAGAAAACGAAGAGGTGTTTTTTCCTAGTATGGGACTCTTCAGTAGTGTACACCCATGATCCCGTTAGGGATAGAACCCAAAGCCTTCAGCTTCTGCGTCCAGCACGTTACGATAGAGCTATTCGGTCAGGATTCAATGGTCCATATCGCCTACGTGTGCCACTTTACGATATACCCCAACCTCCATTCAAAGGCTGTCGTTGAGTATCTGTTCTCATGTTCAACTTCGTTGGCCCCACTGTAACCACGACTTCACATTAGAACTTCAGGAATCACCTATCGAAGTTAGTTAATCATGCGTAATAGAAAATGCCTTAACACATATTAAATATATGATCAAATTGTGAATGGCGCCAATATATAACATTTTTTAGATTAACTGTCTCCTAATTGCTTTATCGAAATTCATAAAAGAGTATTAATTGTTTCAGATGAATTAGTTTGAATATCAGACAATAGTCATATGATGACTATTGTCTGTATTATGACCATAATTTGAAGTATAGAAACAGTCTTGGAAAAAGAAGCTGTTTAATTCCTGAACATAGTTTAAATCTAAAAGTTTGACATTTCCCGCCATAACTAGAAATTTATTCCCAGGGGTAAGTTAGATGAAAGAAGAAATAAGAAAAAGCTAAAAATGATTTATAAGAGTTAGAAAAGAATTGACTAACATTTATACACAAACAATGCAGTAAGTGATGAATTATACTAATTGTATGAAGGCTGTCAAAACTCCAGTAAGTGGAGTGGAGTTTCGAACCTTTGACCTATGGTCAAGTGCCTAGATAAATGAGCTAGTGATCCTAATACATAGCAGCATCCATCAATCAAAACGCCTATTACACTTTCCATGTTGGTATAAAGGTTTCTTCTACCAATAATCCTCAGTATGATTAATGCCTAACACGTACACTTGTTGACTGCCTTCAACCAAACTAACAACCATAGAAATGCACTACGATGCTTAGCTTGGTAATCACACTGTAAAAAGAAAAATCGATGAGAATCGGTCAACACTCAGACGACATGACATTGGTTGCTCTTCAGCTACCAATCAATATACACTTGTCAACTTCTTCAGTCATCACCTCTGAAGATGCCTTTTCAATACCAAATTACGTTTAGCAGGTACAGATTGCGTAGAAAACGGTTTTCAGTTATTTGATGACAGTAAAACTAACTAGTCAGTGATCAAAACAGAGCTCAAGATGATTGATCACTCAGTCGAAAGTTTTTAGTATATACCAATCACAAAAATAATCTAGTTAATCGAATTGTTATGGAGACAGACTAGACTCCGTCACTGGATATCTATGCAGCTCAACAAAGCATAAAGTATTGTGTTGATTAGCAATTGTAGACATTTCAAATATTTTATCATATTTAGTACCGATAGTTTACAAAAAATCTGCAACCCATAGGGAAAACAGCTTCTGGTAGTTTAGTTACTCAAGAATTAACCAACTAAGATTCACCTGACGTAACTAGAGCATGCATATATTACTACTGTGTATTACAAATGAAGAAATAATCATTTCAACGAAGAAAAGACGAATACACACAGAGAGAGAGAGACAAATACAAAACGTGAAAACCCTCATTAGATACCTCTTTTCCAGGATATTCTTTGATAACTTTTCGTAATTCTTGTTTACTGAATGCAAACTGATAACTGACCACTTCCGGCCGAACACCAGCCTCTAACGCACTTTGAACATTTTCAAAAAAGCCCTATGAAATTAGAAGACAAAAAATTTGAGAAACATAAATGAATGTATTATATATGTTATATTATATTGACAGCAAAAGGTTTATATGTATGCTAGTTGGAACAATAGTAAATGAAGAGAAACTTTTGATGATAGGAAATGGTGTGGTTGAGGACTGAGTCAATACCAGACAATCGAATTCGATGACTAGTTTTATCAAAATCAACAATTACTTACATTACATCCCAGCTTAATTTGTTCTTAAGTAACAAACTGCGACTATTTGGTTGGTGTAGAGATGTGTGAGTTGATACTGAAATCCAATCACAGTAACTTTTTACGCTAAGCAACGAATCATACCTATTTTGTGCAACCGCGAATGATACCAGTTAGCTGGAGTTGGGTTCAAACCAGTAACCTATCGGCCAGACGCTCCACATCATCAACATGAAGATTAACATAGGACCAGGCATTACTGCGTAAAAGTTCAAGTCGCTAAGACATTTACTATAACCATTAAGGTGAGGATAACGTGAGTATACATACATCTCCACCACTGACATCGGTTCTCACACATGTCATCACCTACAGTCAGTCTCAAACCACTGGTTTACATTGTACCACACAACCCAAACAACTAGTCTCAATCACCAAACATAGCTCAAACCAACAGTCAACAACTTCATGCATTCATACCATGTTTTAGTCTGGCCACCGAGAGCTTTTCTCCACCTTGAACCTACTTCAGCCAACATTGTGGCACTAGGCAGATGGTGACTAGGCATACCTAAAACATGTCCAAACCACCCATCTCAGTCGATGAAGGTTCACAACATAGTCGATTGACTTACCTCTGCTATCTAAAACTCTACTCCTGATTTCTAAGCTACTCACGTCGTGACACCACGAAATACGACCTATGTTATGAAGGCAGCAGTCGTCAAACACCTGGAATCCTATCAAGTCTTCTACCTTAAATCCCTATGTTTCACAGACACACAGTAGAACGAAGCACACTCCATCACAGTACACTCGATCCATAACAGACAATCGGATATCGTGGCAGCATCACACATGGCGTATGCTGGCGAAAGCCATTCAATTTTTTCCTTTACGTGCAGAGATTTCGTCGGCCACTGACGCACAAGGGCTGATCCGACTTCCCTGCAGACAATGATGAAGTAGATGAAGTAGGCGTGAATTCGTGATATGATAGTTGATTGTCAAGTGTCAAAGTAGTCGACCAGGGTCAATTAGTGTATCCGAGCATAAAAACCTAGCTAGATCAAAATTGGTAGATCCTAGCAAGATAAGGAGTTTCAAGAACAGCTCGGTGATTCCTGAGCATCCAGTAACACACAACCACACAATGAGATGGAATAGGGTGAACATTTCTAAAACTGACATACCAGGGTAGATATTAATAATTGAGTCATTTTGAGATGAATGGGGATTTTAATTTAGAAGTAGTATTCACCATGGACTGATATCCAGTGGCTGAATGGTGAAGGCGTTCGTCGTGAAACCTGAAGGTCCTGAGTTCGATCCCCAGCCGGGTAGTCGGTGCGTACTGCTGAGGAGTTCCATGCGAGGACGAAACAGCTGTCCAGTGCTCACAGAATTCCAATGGTTCGCCAACTGATGTCAGTCTATGATGAATACTACTTCTAAACTGAGTCTTTTGTTTATCAAATCAACCAACACCTAAATCATGCAACCGGCATGACTCAGCATCTGTTCCGGATATATGGAAGATTCTATTACCTATATCACAAAGAAGGTGAGAGAATTGGGACTATATAAAGGATGTCTTAAAGTTGTGCAGTAATTATCTTAATATGACTATACGCAATCAATTTTGTCTGAAATGTTATCCAGTAAATAATACTCTTCCACTGTATGATACATTCAATGAAACAACAACTGGAATGGAATTCATTGGTTATCTTAAGACTAAAGTGGAAACTGTTTTCTTTCTCCATGTATAACTTTGTTAAACTTTGAATTCCATATAGACAGGATTCAATTTTCAATTAGTACATTTCAATCTACGCATAGATTATAAAGTCTTGAGTACAATTATTTTAAAATCTCTACAGAGGTGTAGTCTTTACAAGTGTATCCGCTTAAACAATTGTCACTGATTGTAAATCAACATACAATCGAAAAATTCATAAACTGTGGTACACGAATACAATATACTTTCGAATGCATTCTATGTTGTTGTAATTTTTTTCAGATTACTTTCTTCTTAAGCTCTACAACAATATAGTTATAGTATCGATGATCATCTCTGTTTGAAAATGTTTAAGGATATGAATAAAATTTATAATCTGAAGGCGCCATTATTGTAAGACATAGAGACAGACGGACAGACAGACAGACAAAGATAGAGAGTAGTTTTATCAACTGAATGTTGATATCATATGGAGAGAAACAGAAGCTAGAATTTCCTGTTTCACCCTCAGCTCTTCAAATTATTACTACTGTTATTGATCAGGTTGTGAACCTTAGTCGGTTGAAATAGCTTGGATATGTAAGGCGCATGCCAAGCAACTGCTTGCCTCAACGTTCATTGCTAGGAGAAGCTGGAGTATGTTGTAAGAGGGTTAAGGGTGACCAGACCAAGACGTAGCACTAGTCGATGAAGTTTCATACTGTTGGCCTGGGTCATGTTGAGAGATGTAAACTGCCTGCTTGGTTCCCTCAAGAAGATAGGAATCAGTGATTTAGGACACTTGGTGACATAGCTGAAAATCAGTCACCGTGGCGCAGATGTATTTACTCATTCACCTCTTCTCGCACACAACTTTGTCTACTTCAATATCACTCTTTTTCTATCCACCTGTTCTTTGTATACTACTGTGAAGTATGGTAACTTGAGTTGAAACATGTGTGAGAAGTTCTACGTTGGGTTTTTCTGTGTGCACGTGTGTGTGTCTGTCTGTCTCTGAATGCTGCTGAAATCACTAATATGTGTACGGAACAGGGAATCCAATGGAAAAGTGTGATCCTCTTCATAGCAAATACATGACTTGCTGTGTGAACGCTGCGATAGCGATAATAAAGGCGAAAAAAACAACTAGTGTCCAACAGGCTTCAAAGTTGAGATCAACTGCTCACCCCCTCTGACCAAATTTTAGCTTGCTGTTTGTGTGTTAAACAACACAACAGTAATGAAACAAGCATACGTTCGTTTGAATCATAGGAATGATTTGAATGTGCAAGAAACACACATCCGTCCATTGGTATGCTAGTGATGGCATGCAGGAAGGTGAGCCCTACGAGGCAAGCGAAGACTTTACGGCTTTGGAAGCGGATTGTGAGAAAGTCAACATTAACACTGTCGATGATGAAGATGAATAATTAATAACTCTAGATTTTTACTTGTTCTGAATAGATTTGCATGATTCTGTCTTGGATTTTACCCTCAACACAAGCTTTGTTCTCGAATTTATGGTAAGAAATTCGTTGATTCAGACGGCTAAGATATGAGGTCTTACGCATGTCTAGTAACTATCTGCTCCGTTGTGCAATGCTGGCTGAAGTAGATTCAGGCTGGAAAAAAAAAGTTAGACGTGACCCAGGTAAAATATATCATCATTGCAAGACATTCTCGGTTGGAATTTATATGATACAACAGAAATCAGCAGTTAAAGCCTCTAGATGATGACATGGCTTAGAATCGATCTTAATGATGTAGATGTATCCGTATATTATCAGCATATTGAATTCAGTAATTTCTTATTCCTATTTCTTGTCTTTTACTATTTATGACTGATTCTTCTTTATTTGTTCATTTTTCATCATAGCGCTTTGTTGCTTGGTGTGCTGAATATGAGGTGAGGAGTGAAAACTTGGACTGCTATACAGTAATTCCAAGCCCAATTTCGATATTGACTGACTGACTGACTCGACTAAGAGTATCAAGATAAGGACGTTATATTTCAATGTTCAAGCCTATTTCTGGTGGTAAAAGGGACTGCAAAATGGTATGCTGTAAACAAATAAATCAAATTCGCTATAGCTGAAAAAATTATCAACTGGGCCATAACATTAATCATATCAGCAGGGGGGAAAGTATATTTCCCTCCCTTTTCAAACCAAAAAAAATAGCTATTTAATTGAATATTTTTGAAAAATATTCATTGCATCGAAAAATTAAACAATGAATTAAATAAATCATAAAATACTGAGCTTACATTATCATACCTACCAATATGAATAATACAAAAATTCCTTTTGAAGACTAGTTTAACAATATAATGTTCTAGCATAGTCGAATGTTAGACACATCGGGGTGTTCATAGCCTCTAAAATAGAAATCCTACTCACTGTCGTCAAGTGGCAAGGTGTCTTCACAAAAGTGAGATGGCGAAATTGGATGTTTAACGCTATCTCTTGACTAGTGAACAAGAAAGGTTCACTTAGGGGAGCTAGTAAAGTCTGATTCCAAACAACTGGTACACATAGAACCCATGACTAAGAGTAGAGGAGTGGCGTAGGAATCTATCTTGGTCATTGAGAACTATGGGAATGCAACAACTTTTATTGCTACGCTGCCTTGTAAGCCAGACTTCAAATCGAAATCTCATGATCTAGGCATAAAAGTTGAATATGAACTCAAAAGCAGCAGACACGTAGGATGTATTACCCGGAGTTGCAAAACTCTGATTTGAAACTAATGGTATATCTAGATTTCAGAATCCAAACAGAATGAATAGCCTATGCAACTATTCAACTGTTGCCAAAAAAAGATAACCCTTGACACTACTCTACTGTTTTGCAGAATCAATTTCGTAATGAAGACTTGAAGAATGGTATCCTAAGAAACCATCAGATAGTTTGAATGTTCGATACATCTATGCACGCAAACTATAGCACAAAGCTTTGCATAATCAACATTCCTCGTCAGACCATAGGCTTCAATAGTGTGATAGCTATTACTGGCCAAAAGGAACTTCGAATGGTATTTAATTGGGTAACTTCTATATTGAAAAATAATGTTGATGGTTTCCTGAAGACAAATATACTACTTTATTGGACATGTTGATACCTTTTGTAATTAGTTTACTAGCCAATGTACTAGTTTGTGTAGGAAGTTTAAAACTGTTACAGCAGACCTTAAGAAAAGGGGGGTTTCGCGATGACCACATAGGAAGGGTAGGCATCACCCTTACAGCATAAACCCATCCTAGGTTCGGTTATCAGTCATGAGAAGTTCTCTGTCTCTTTCTGGGTTTTTTTCTGGATGAGTTCTATTACTATGAATCTTCCTTCTCAAGTTTCCAGATACTTAAACAGACTAAAGAAATAAAACTCCATCTCCTATTCAGTCCAGTCCAGCGTTCCTGAAACAGAGGTTTCCACTAAACCAGATCAACTACTTCGCCTTGATGAGCGGTACTAACCAACTTGCTACTAAATCAACCTATTCCGACTTCATCAACCTCTCCTGGCTAACCAGTTCACTAGTAACTAGCCGGTCCTAAGCCTGAATAAAGAGAGAAGGTTGGGCGAAGGGCCAGCCACCCTACCCCGTGAAACTAATCCAACTGCTACAGAAACTTCAAAGCACAAAGAAAATATAAAAAATAAAAACAAACTTATTCCTCGCTGGAATTGGGGAGACGAAATGACGCCAGTCGATGAAGGCCTTCGGGAAGCCAGTTAGCCGGTGTTCCTTCTACTCTCTCGATGAAAGCGAATGTCAACATGGGGATATGGAATGTCTGCACAATGTATGAACCTACTAAGGCTGCCCAGATTGCTAAAGAAATGAGGAGGTATGGCACTGAAGTGTTTGGAATCTGTGAGGAATCAGCAGATCGAATGGGAGTGGACTCTCCAAACTTTCAACTGGAGAATCAATAATCTACTCCGATATTGTCACACAGACGACAACCATTAGCACACTGAGTTTCGGAGTGGCTAGCATGATGTCTCGAAGAGCAGCATCGAAGGCTCTTTCTTATACAGTGGGAACCAATCTCCTCCTGCAGGATCAGGATCATAACAGCAAGAGTCAAGTCAAAAGGAAGGAAAGTCACTATCATACAATGCTACACTGTGCACCTACAAATAATGTAGATGAAGAGATGAAGGAGGAATTCTACAGACAACTGCAATCAGTACTGGACAAAACCCCAGTTGGTGACATCAAAATTGTAATGGGCAACATGAATGTCAAACTCGGAGCGCACAACATACGAAGAGAACTCATCATAGGTCGAGAAGCGCTCGGTGAAATGAATGAGAACGGAGAACTGCTTGTAGAATTCTGTGCATTCAACGATCTGGTGATTGGAGGGTACTGTGTTCAAGCACAAGGATATTCACAAAGCAACATGGATTTCACCAGATGGACACGCTAAAAACCAGATCGACTTCATTTCAATCTGAAGAAAGTGGAGATGCAGCCTACTGCACGCAAGATCAAGGAGAGGAATAGACGCAGGTTCAGACCACTACCTACTGCATGGAAGCTAACTTCAAAACCAAGTTGAAAACCTTCAAAGAAGTTGGTGATAGACCACAGTTCAAGTTCAATACACAGAACAGAACGGAAACTGAAGGAAGAAACTTCAAAGGACATCTTCACGTCAGCCATCAGGACAAAATAGGAGACGTTGAGCAACATTCCAGAAGGAACCTGGTTGGAACAACACTGGAACTCTTTGTAAGAGATGTGGAAGAAAACCTGAATAACCATGCTAGTAAGGAAGAAAAAAGAAGACAAGGAATGGATACCGACGGACACATGGAAACTGATAGAGCAGAGAGTGGAAGTTGGTGATGGTGAAGCAGAAGATGAACCAGAGCAGGCAGGGATGAATAACGAAAACAGGGACTAAACACAACCTATAAAACACTACGCTGAACAAAGAACTGAAGAAGAGTACGCGCAAAGACAAAAGACGCTTCTATGACATATTGCCAAGCGAAGCAGAACCGGCTGTTGGTAGGAGAGACAGAGACCTGACAACATTACATCAAATAACCAGGTTACTACCTAGGGAGAGATCAACGCAGACGAAACCAATGAAACATAGTGAAAGAAACCCAGTTACCAAAGAGGAGGAACAAATGAAACAAGGGATTGACCACTTCAAAAAACTCTTGAATCGACCACCACCTGCAACTCGTCCAGAAATACCACCAGCAATCCAATCACAGAACTACCAGTGAACACAGGCCCTCCGACAAAAGCAGAAGTCCTGAATGTCACAATACTGTTGAAATACGGGAAAGCAGCATGACCATATGGAATTCCACCGGAAGCACTGAAAACAGACACAGAGACAAAAGCGGACATGCTCGCACCACAGCACCTAAATTCCAGAAGGTTTGCAAGCAAAGAAGGAAAGCTACGTGCACATTGATTGGATAAGGAAGGGCCAATTTGTCAAACTCTCAAACAAGGGAGAGACCTCAGTCTTTGCAAGAACTGGTGAGAAATCATGCTCCACTCCTGTCCACACCAAGCAAAATATTATGCCACATCATTCTGGAGAGACTAAAAAGTGATCTGCATTCAAAATTTCGACCAGAACAGGCTGGCTGGCGTCTGGAAGAACAAATCATGTGCGGATCAAACTGCAGCGCCACGCAACGCATCATCATAAAACAGAGCATAAAATGGCAGTCAACCCTCTACCTCAACTTTATCGACTGCCGTTCGATAGCGTCAACTGACAAGTAATTCTGCAGTTGCTTCAACACTACGGAGTGCCACTAGTCTTTATCAACCTCATCCAACAGCTATATGAAGACGCCACATAACAAGTAATCCACAGTGGAAAGCTCAACGACGCCTTTGAAGTGAAGACAGGAAGGAGTAAGACAAGGCTGCCGTCTACTATCACCGATAATCTTCCTGATTGTAGTCGACTGGATCATGCAACAGACAACCGTGAGGAGCTGTGAGAAGATGGGCATAGGCTAGCTAGACTGATGAGGAAACCCGGGAAAAAGATTTGGATTTCGCCAACAATGATGATTTATGTATAATATCTTGTGGCACAAACTCGAAGATGTACAGGCAAACCCAACAAGTTGACAGAAGAGGCAGGCAGTGAAAACGGGACTTCAAGTGAATGTAGAGAAGGCGGAGGTGATGAAGATACTCAACCAACAACAGCATGAGCAACAAGCACCGATCACCATTAACGGGAGAAACCTAAAGGAAGTAGTCTCTTTCACCTATCTAGGCGACATGTTAACTACAGGTGGCAGCAGCACAGACGAGGATGTCAAAGCCAGGGTCAGTAAAACAAGGCAGACCTTCGTCAATCTGAAATCAGTGTGCAGATCTACTGCACTCAGCATAAAGCGTGAACAGGATCAGATCAGGATTTTCAACACCAATGTGTGACCACATCACAATAACATGAAACACTCCCAAGATATTCATAACCATAACATCTCAACTTCATCTTCTTGTCTATCCATAATCAATCATGACATGCAATTGCAAAGCAGAAATAGGGACTGAACTTTATCATTGAAACATGCAAACTATGCAAACTTACAGCTAATTTTTCTAAGGGGCGACCCATACAATTCTTTGTATATTCTTGTAAAGCAAGTGTATAACGATTTTTTGCATCTTGACGATATTCATCCAGACCAGACATTTTTAAACGTCGGAGAATATCACAAAGACGATGATAGTTCTCTGTGAAAAGTATAATGAAAACAGGAAGAAAAATAAAAAATACTTTTCTAGCTTAGAACTATTATTGAATGTGAACCGTCTTTCTCAAAACACAAGAAAGGATTGTGTGAACAAGTGGTTATTTCAAGATAGTTCAGTGGTCTACAGTTTTTCTACTTCTGTCAGTCAATGGGTGATAACAGCGCAACTATCCACTAAGGTCTTCAGTTGACATTCGCTTCACTTATGAACGGTTTGCTTCTATACAGTACGGCTTATCATTAGGACTTTGAGATATGTCCATCACGAAGCATGTCACTAGTGAGCACTATACAGTAATCTAGTTTGAGGTTTGGGGGGGATCTTAATTACCTCAAGATAGTAGTTACCATGAACTGACATCAGTCTTAATTTGGGACTCTTCAGCAGTACGTACTACTATGTTCAAACCATTAATTTGAATTACAATTCAGTAGTCCTTAGTGAATTGTCTCTATGAAAGAGAGCTGAAAATGGGACACTTTATGGGAACCGCCAAAATGACACCCTTAAGATGCACTTTTATGGTAAATCACAGCGGAATTAAGTGTCTCATCCACCGCAAACAACTACTTCACATTCCAAACTATGTGAAACATGTATTTCATGAAGCGTACCTAGTTTACCAGATACTCTGATGGTGTTCACGTGACTATATGTTGCCAGATCGCCAAGGGTGGTGGGACAGTACATCATGAAATGATCGTGTTCGAGGTTTGAAGAGACTTGTGTGCTATATACATCCACTCTGCCCTGTTTATGTCTGCAGAAATTTGTGTGTGTGCTGTAAGTACTCTCAGTTTGATGATAGGAAGTGGGATATGTCAACCACTTCACTTACTCGGAGAGTTGCATCAACCCGAACGGGCTAGTTGCTGATGAAATCTCAGGTCGCATACAGAAGGCCCATTTGGAATTTTCCGACTTCCGTCATCTATAGCTCGAGATATCTGACTACCGATTAAAGGACGAGTATTCTGCGCTGTAGTTTGTTTTGTCATGCTGTACGTCTGTGGGACATAGTCGTTAAAAGGAGACGATATGAAGCGGTTACAGGGTTTCGACTACAAGTATCTTCGTAGCATTGCTGACGTTTGGTGGAATAATCTTGTGAGCAATGTTGAGGTCGGGAGAAAGGTACTAGGCAAGATAGGCAACTCGATTGACGAGGTTATGAATCTTAGTCGACTGAGATGGTTTGGACATGTACTGTACATCTCAAGTTACTCCCTACCTCGACGTGAAGTGCTAGAAGTTGGAGTAGATTGGAAGAGGGTTGAGGGTGATCAGACTAAGACGAGGCAACGCTCAATAAAGTCTCTTACTGTTGGTCTCAATCATGTGGGGTGATGCAGACTGCCTGGTTGGACTCCTCAAGACGAAAGGAATCAGTGGTTGAGGACTTTTGGTGACACAACTGAAAATCGGTGACAATAGCGCAGATGTATTCACTCCTAGACATCTAACTATTCACACTAACCTTTATCATCAGATTGTTGGTTCTCTCTCATACTACTATATCTACTTTGACATTACTCCTTTTCTATTCACCTGTTCTTTGCGTACTCCAGTGAAGTGTGGCAACTTGAGCCGATGAATTCCTGTGCGAGGTTCTAGGTTAATTTTGTCAGTCAGTCACTTAGTTCCGTCAGTGCCCATTATATAATTATTAAAAAAAGATGTAGGTTGCATCTAAATCTACTCAGCAACCTTATGCAATACTGTGCAATAAACAACGATCTGTACTTTTTGTGTGAAGGCTAATCATACTTACTACCTGACTGCCCAAACCTCAAAAGGCGGAGCGGGAGTCAAACTAGAGACCTGTCGGTCGAAAGTCAAGTGCATAAATCAATAAGGCATAGGCTCTGCAAAAGATTAAGATTACACATGCGAAACAAGAAACAGACTTGACAGTATATATTTTTGGAGGTCAGACGAAAGTATGCCAAAACATAAAACTGTTAGTTGAAGTACTATTCAAAGACTCATTCATCTCCATACATTAATACAATAGAATTGCGCCATTTTACGCACAGCTCATGTGTTGTTAGGGCTAATAACGCTAGATAATTTCTTATACCTAGACAGGTGGAATGCAATCCAAATTCAAATACCTAGACCAATCGTTCACGGTTCCAGGTGAACAAGATGTTTCCCCAGAGATATAAAGGCGACTGACTTACCAGTCTATGAGATAACGATTTGATGTTTAAAGCGATATGTAATAGGGTTTAAATGGAGTCAAGTAGAAAAAAAGAAAGAGAAATATTCGTCCAGGATTCCACTGAAAATCATCCCTATGCGATTGAAATCAATATCATACCTAGGCATCTCTCTTTCTCTCTCTCTTCCAGCAACTCATATACCATCAGAGACCGGTCAAAGACTGACTCAAATATATATCAACATAGGTCAGAGAGAGAGAAAGAGGGTAGAGTAAGCAGTCGATATTCAAAATCAACCCATATAACTTTGAAAATAGAAGTTACTAGTTCTGTTTTAAAGAATCCACTTTTCCATTAGCATACCTTTTTCATTTACCTACCTCCCTTGAGAATATCATCTGAATATTCTTTTCCGCATCACTTAGCAATCGAGACATTATAAGAAAAGATGTGAATTGCCTAGTTACCATTCTGAAATGTTACTTCAATTTATTGCTAACCGATCAAATACCTGATTCCTGTAATAATTTATTCAACTGATATTTTTAAAAAATGTTCATCGAGAGACGAAAAACAGCGACTCATTGGATAAAAAAAAGATAGAGAGAACATTTTCCCTGGGCAAAAGTTCACTTTCATGTAGGTGTTCGTAGACTGTAGTGGGTACTACTGACAAGAATGAATATAAGTAGGACATGTTGAGAGGGAGGCTGAAATCATAAGGAATTGCCAGCAGTATGTAAACATTTTGCCTAGATAAAAGCAAGAAACAATGTGGGCGTATGAAGAGTAAATCGAGACAGGAGAAGAAGAGGAAATGAAGTACGTTGTGCAAATGAATGTCTTGGTAGAAAGTGTACAATATCTTATAACTACTGTACAAGATGTCAATATATTAAACATTCCTTCCTTCGTCTCATCCTTTGTCATTTTCTTACACTGCTACACGTCTAGTAGTGAAATCAAGCAATTGATATCGAGATAGGTGCTGAGATTACCACGTCTAAGCTCCGACATCCCACATAATTAGTCGATCAGGATTAAGAAAATGAGAGAATATTAGATCCTTTTTTACTTGTTCCCGTTTACTTTGTGTGATATCATCCTTGCATTTTCTTTTTACACCTTCAATTTTATTGTCCACAGTCATACTAAAATGATTTTGATAACACTGTGGACAATTAAAAATATATAAGAAACGGATTTTAGTAAGGAATACCGTTCTACTATGTGATACCTCTGACAAATTAAATAAAATGAAATTGCAATCTATCACAGTGCATAAGTTTTGCTCTTGCAACATCTCACATCAGTAAATCAAGCAACAAGATAACAAAATGGGAGGTGAAGGAAACAAAAATCGGTCAAAGGAAGTAGAAGTACTAAAAGAGAACATTGAGAAATGATAAAGTGATGAGATTTACTATAGCCATTAGGTAAGGATAACGTGAGTATACATACATCTCCACCACTGACATCGGTTCTCACACATGTCATCACCTACAGTCAGTCTCAAACCACTGGTTTACATTGTACCACACAACCCAAACAACTAGTCTCAATCACCAAACATAGCTCAAACCAACAGTCAACAACTTCATGCATTCATACCATGTTTTAGTCTGGCCAACGAGAGCTTTTCCCCACCTTGAACCTACTTCAGCCAACATTGTGGCACTAGGCAGATGGTGACTAGGCATACCTAAAACATGTCCAAACCACCCATCTCAGTCGATGAAGGTTCACAACATAGTCGATTGACTTACCTCTGCTATCTAAAACTCTACTCCTGATTTCTAAGCTACTCACGTCGTGACACCACGAAATACGACCTATGTTATGAAGGCAGCAGTCGTCAAACACCTGGAACCCTATCAAGTCTTCCACCTTAAATCCCCATGTTTCACAGACACACAGTAGAACGAAGCACACTCCATCACAGTACACTCGATCCTTAACAGACAATCGGATATCGTGTCAGCACCACAGATGGCGTATCCTGGCGAAAGCCATTCGATTTTTTTCTTTACGTGCAGAGATTTCGTCGTATCAGGGCAGATTCGACTTACCAGCTAAGTGAAGTGGTCAACGCGCTCAACTACTTCACTCTCTATTTTTGTAGTCGGGGTATCGTTAAAGAGCAGCCCTGAAGCAACAATTTAGACCTGGGTGGTGAGAAACGAACTCCAAGCACTCTCAAATTGCCACTCAAGGTGTCCAGAAGACCCTGCATCTTGTCTGAGTCATCATCTAACAGGAATATGTCATCTACGTGTTCTAGGTCTAACGGAAATTCTGCGATTAGGGTACCCTCTGAGTAGTCAGGTGACGAGAGAGAGACCTTCATAAGAATATCTATGATAAAACTGACAAAAAATGGAGAAAGTGGGGATGCTTGACGTACACCACTCGATATACGCAACTCATGCGACACGTCACCATAGGCACTAACACACCCATAGGTGTTCGAATAGAGAGCCTTCGACCGGGTGACGTACTAACTCAGTACCCCTTTCAATGGAAGACACTCGCACAAGACTTCTTGGCAGACGGAGCCAATACGGCCTTTAGGTCCAAGAAAAACAGGTATTGTCGGGCGTCCCCCAGAACCTGGCGGAGTATGAATATTTAGCGGTAGGTTACCAACTGTTTTTATCGCTGTTTCTACAACAGACTTAATATCACGTCAAATTCCCTCCTTCTTAAATACATGCCTGATATTCTCGTCTTTCAATCAAGCATACACAATGTGATCAGTAAAATCCGGACATACACAAGCCACCACTATCGGGGTTATTGCACTTCAGGAAGGTGTTCCAGAGAAAGTGCCAATCCTCCAACAATCCTCTCCAACGATGACTTATAGCAATATGACTTATTTGTATCGATTGTTGGCTTGATTTCAGCTGACTCCATATGAGAAAGTGTCTCTCCTTATGCCTAAAGTTAGTGCTGACGAGAAACAAGTGATGGTAAGAACAAAATTGCAAGAGACGATCAACCTTCTCGGTTCGTTGACATGGATTCCGTAAATGCCTCCCAGATGCCTTTCCGATCACGTCAGCTCTCTCCGCTGTAGCGTTAAAGTCACCTTTCATTATGATTAGATGTGAAAGTTTCGCTTTATGTAAAAAAATGACTGGGTTTTGATCGAATTCATCTTTTGCATCATTGAAACTGCAGTGGTTGGACGCATAGACGGAGATGATGAATAGGCACCAGTGAGTGTCATGATCCTTCTCAGATGTTAAATATTCATTAGACCATACAGCAAAGTGGTGCCTGACAACTGGTATCGAGTGGAGAAGATATACCTTTCAGAAAGGTGATCGAGTTTGCAGGTGAAACCAATCTACATGCTGTAGACGGTGATGTGCTGAATGTTGTAAGCATGTTGATGCTCGTTAAACCAAATTCAAAAAACAATATATATTAGAAATCATGTCTTCAGTTTGTGATTGAATACAGTTTTAACCCAGTACTCGAAAACTGAGTAGTAAAACCATTAACTTACAATAATTTACAACAGTTGAATCAAAAACCTTGAATATCTTTCTTTGAAAGAAAAACATAACGTAACTGTAATAATTTACCTAATTTAACAACTTCTCCTGGTGTCTTTACACTTTCTGATGCAACTCTATCGATTTCAGTCATCAAAGAGCGTATCAATTCACCATGTGCACGTTCCAAGTCAACTAGACGTGAGCTAGTCGCGAATACAGTCATTGAACATTCAGCAAATTCAATATAAGTTCGAACAATTGTCAAAACACCACATCTTGCCTTTCTACTTGATTTACTCATTTTAAACGACATAATCAAACGTTCCTGTAAAGCAAACAAGGAGTTTATAAGAGTAAAAAAACTGTTGACGAGTAAATTATACCTTGAACAAGATGGAATATAAATAATACTTACTGAGACCCAGTTTTTCGGTATAACTTACAATATAATTCATTCAACTGGATCAAAGAGTTGTCACTGTTGGACACAGAATAATCAGCCTCCACTTACTGAGTTACGACCTCGAGTAAACCTCCACAAATCAAGGTTTTAGCAGCCAGTCAGCACTATAGACATTCAAATATTTTAGAAGTAGTAATCATCATGGGCTGATATCAGTTGTCAGCAGTACGCACCCAAGACCCAACTAGGCATCGAACTCAAGACCTTCAGGTTTCACGACGAACGCGTTAACCATTCAGCCACTGAGAAGTCCCATGCTAGGACGAAACAGTTGTCTGAAGGGAAGCGGATGTCAACTGAAGACTTTGGGGTGATGGTCGCGCTATATCGTGAATTGACAGAAGTTGGAAATTGTGAACCACTGAAAACCGACCCAGTGGCTGAATGGCTAACATGTTCGCCGTGAAACCTGAAGGTCCTGAGTTCGACCCTTAGCCGAGTCGTGGGTGCGTACTGCTGACAAGTCCCATACTATGACGAAAGAGCTGTCCAGTGCTTCCAGATTTCCAATGCTTCCCCAACTGATATCAGTCCATGATGAATAGTACTTCTAAATTAAAATCCCCATTCATCTCAAAAATCCAAATATTTGTTTGACTTCGATAGCACACAGTGTATTGTGCAGCACTTACCTCTTCTCTATTATATGGCTAAGGAAAACGACGAATGAAAGTAGAAGACGACATGAGAAGACTATAACATATTTCTATACAAAACCATCATCTGTCTCAACATGTAAGATGATAGCCAACGTAGAACTCGTTTCAAGAACGCTACAGGTGGAGAGAATAAAATATGGCGCGCAATCCACGAAATTTTAAACAGTTGGTCTGCGTTGGGCAGCGAAGTGTGTACAATTTTTAACTATTATTTTCTATGCTGTCATTCCTCAAATTAAAAGTTGAATTCATCTAACTCGTAAACCCTAGGTGCTTAAGCGTGCTGAGCAAGTTTTCAGTTTATATTATATAGTAGAAAGTAACTTTACTTCCCACAGAGTTTGTGCATTCATCCATTCACAAGGGTGTACACGAAAATCAGGTATACTCTAGAGTTCCTTATATCTAAGTAGATCACTATGAAGTTTAATTAAAAGCAAGTAGACCTCTTGAAGAACTAGTTTCCGGGTACAAACTAATTACAAACTGTTTAGTCTTTAGTAGCGAAGGGATTTTGGCGTCATTGATTACGTCGAATTGATTAACCACCACTGGCATATGGGTTTTTGTCTAGCTGGTTCGATATTGGTGGCATTTTTAGTTTCTTGGCTCTCCAAAGACCATTAGAAACACAAAGAGTGCTATTGTGACTCAGAGGTACATCCACCCGACGAGTCCAAAATAAAACGAAACGAGCGTCCTGGGTTCCACTGGTAAGCGGTATCCATCAATATTATGGGAACCGAAAGAAATGTCATCAATCAAGCTGATTAGAAATCTTAGTATCGTGTATATTTAAAAGCAAACATTTCACATGTGAGAAAATTCTGAGTATTTATTGATATTTGTCCCCTGGATTCTTAGTGGAATATACCGCTTTAGTAACACGACCCCATTTCACTCTCTTATCTGCAGTCTTTCAATCTGGCTCCACAAATACCCACAACTTACAACTTCTTCCTCACACCACCTCCTTCCTACATGTCATCCTCGACTCCAACCCTCAACTAACTCGTCCGTTCCCATTCACGTTCCACTCGACCACCTGGCACGTGATGTCCACAAACCATCTTCTTTATCACTCTATGTCCAACACAATACAATACAATACATCTCAACTTTCTTCTTTCTTTCATATTTCTTCAGCGATAGCTTCCATCTTGCTTCGTTGACAGCCAGCCACAGTGACTTCCTTCTTCCTTGTTCTCCTCGTCATCTCATCCTTCGCATCTTCAGTATCGAGTAAGTGTAGGTGGCACTTGTTCATCATCTATGTCTGCACTTTGTTGGAAATGCTTTCCGTTACGCGCAGCCAACTCTCTCAACCATCACATAGAAGCACTGAATCACTTGACTGACATAAGTGTTCAAAATCCCCACCTGATATTGTTCACGCTTTATGTTGAGTGGAGTGGAGTGCAGTGCAGTGCAGTGCAGTGCAGTAGATCTCCACACCGATTTCAGATGAATGAAGGAAGGCCTGTCTTTCTGTCTTTCCGGTCCTGACTTTGATATTCTCATCTTTGCCGCTGCCGCCTGTAGTTGAAAAGATGCTGCCTACACAGACAGGTAGGTTAGAGACAACTCCATTTACATTTCTATCTCCTGTTGATTGGAGCTTGTTGTTGTTGGTTGGGTATCTTCATCACCTCTGTCTTCTCTACGTTCACCTGAAGCCTCATCTTCCTTCGCTGCCTCGTCTCTTTTGCCAACTTATTAGTTTTCGCCTGTAGATCTTCGAGATTGTGCGACAAGACATTATACATAAATCATCATCGTTGGCGAAATCCAAATCTTCTTCTGAGGTCTTCTCATCGGTCAAACATCGTATGCCCATCTTCTCACTCCTCACAGTTGTTTGTTGCATGACCCAGTCCAGTCCACTATAATCAGCAAGATCATCGGTGATAGTAGACAACCTTGTTTTATTCCTATCTTCACTTCATTTCAAAGGCATCACTGAGCTTTCCATTGTGAATTGTTCGGCATGTAGCATCATCCTTCAGCTATTGAATGAGGTTGGTAGAGGTTCGTGGTACTCCGTAGTGTTCAAGCAGTTGCTAAATTACTTGAGGAAATTCTTAGTAAAACACCCAAATTAGTTTTACAACCCCTAGAATATTTACTTGTTCAACTGTCAGGATAAAAAGTGGAGAAAAGCTATGCATTGAATGAATAAAATAGAAACAATTCACTTACAATAAGACGATTAAATGCTCTCTTTGTTTCAACAATAAGTCGAGATAAGAAATTGCCAATATAGGTGAGTTGTACTTTGTTTCCATTATCTAATGACTGTTGGGTTGATTCATTCTCGGTTATCCTTGAAATAGTGATTAACAATGGCATAATAAGTATTGTCTGTAATTGTTCACAATTCACTACTAAGTTTAACACATCCTGTTCAACACCATCGAATAAATGAAACATACATTCCAATAGGCTGGATAATTCATCATCACCTGTATAACCTTTGTATGCATTGGGCTAGAGAGATAGAAAGAAGAATGTTCACAGGATATAGAATATAAGAACAATAGTTACTAATCTATACAATTGAACTACAGAATTCAATGGGCGGTGAACTCTCGTGGTCATCAAGTGCACGTATATTCATACACTCCCTAGACAATGGAGTTATGCATAGCGGAGCTATGGCTTATTGGATTATGGGAGTTGAATTTCAACTAGTGGGCCAAGGGTTCGAAACCTCCACCACCTACCAAGATTTGGGTAGTATCATAAGCCTACACACAATAGATGTGGTTAACTGCCTACTGAAACGAATGTCTACTTGGTTGGTGAGTCCATTTCAAATGATACTACCCGACTACTGAAACATCAGTAAATGCGACAGGGTTCGAACTCATAACCCAGAGTCCAAATTTTGTTGACCAAACTTTGAACAGTCATGTATTAACATAAGCCTTCACACATAAGGGTAACTCGAGTTGGAAATATATTGAATCACATATCAGTGACTAAATCACCAAGTTCATTTCCATTGGATAAAGTTCCTAGAACTTAACAACCATAGGATAGAAGAAATATTTTTTTTCTACTTAGAACGCAGTTTATGATGGTGTATGTTTCGTCTAATTTATGAACTCTCTTCAGGATGACACAATGATGACAACTCATGGAAAAAAACAATTCACATGATAGGCATAAATATAAAGACAACAAGAGTGACTTTAAACGCCATCCTAGCAACAGCTAAATTAACCAATTACACTTCTGTATTTTATGAAATACTGAAACCTGACTAGTCATTACAGTAGTTCCAAGGGTGACTTTGAAAATGGTCTGCAGGCTAACACACAACGTCGAACGAAAGTTGAGGGGCTTGATTGTCACATATCTGAATAGGAATGACTTTAAAGACCACCCCTGAAAGCACAGGCGAAAGTGAATTCGCGGGCGACTTTAAAGGCAACCCCAGCAACTGTTCAGATAACCAATTATGTCTCACTATTTAATGAACAACTACTCTTCTTGGCGGAATATCTAACCTGGTTGGTTATTTCGGGAGTAGCTAGGGTGACCCCTAAAGCTATTCAAAGTCGCATTCAACAACCTTGTGCACATTCATGATTCGTGAAGGCGGCAATGAGTCACTCCTATCGTGCGTGTGAGGGCGAATGGCACTACCTGGCTGTCTAAACCACCCTGCTAGGTGGAGCGGGGCTGAAAGCAGTGATCTATATGAAGAAAAAGTGAACAGAAGCATAAAGATATTAAAAGCAATGCGATGGATGCAACTCGCCGATAATATGCAATCTAGTGGAACAAGGCGATGCGGTACACTGACTAGCTGGCAAAAAAATCGGTAGGTGAGACGAATTTCGTACTTGTGACCCATCTGACTGAAAGTCGACTGCCTCAACCAACGAAACAGTTTTAACGCATACTAATTCAAAAGTCTGAATGTCTTTCCAAAAGGATAACTAAATATTACAGATAGTTCCGAATGCTTGTTGACATTACTGTGTTATGCTTACTGAATCACTATGTCCCTAAACATGCAGGACAACAAGGAGTGGTTGGATCAGGACACGAAACATCCAACTGTCAACCTGAGCTGTTAGAGGAAATGTAGACGGTCTGCTTAGGATTCAGTGGATAGCTGAAACATATGATCACCGACTCCCAAAGGGAATGACTCAAAACTGATCGCAATAGTGTCCCAACTTTCACTTTGCCTTATCCCTTGCTACGACTAATTGGCACGATAATTTTGATTCCCCTTGAAAACACTGGACAGGTGTTTTGTCCTAGTATGGTTGGGACTCCACAACAGTGCGCAACCTTGCCTTACACGCTAACATCTGTTTTTGGACTATTCATCAGATTTCTGGTAATGATATACTGAGAGGTAGATGGCCTTTATATTACACTGTACTCTAAACGCCTTTGGTTTAGATAGTGACAACTTAGCATACTGAATAAATAAGACTATTCCTTTACTGATGATATAATGACTAACTGTCCAGCTAACCTGTAATGTATATGATTCTAGCCAGCGTGAATCGATTGGACATAAACAGAAGGTATTTCGAATGTATATTGGAACACAAGCGTTTATCCCACTACGACATGAACGTGTAACCGAAAGATAAACATCACTAAACATCTGATGATTCTCACATACTTGCATCTTAAGATTATATCGATAAGAAAATCTGTTTATACAGAAAAAACTCCCGAAAGATCAACGTAACAACAATAAACATTTAATTCAACTAACCAAAGTATTAGTGGGTGGTCGCAAATTGAAACCGAAAAACTGATTTAAAAAAGCCTGTTCTGTACGAATTACTGTCAAGATTTCCGTGAAACAGTTATCGAATATCTAAAATGGGAAAGAAAACATGAGAGAAACCACTAAGAAGGAAAAACATAAACGGTGTGAACAAAGGATGACAGATTGTGTTTGGTTAAATTTTGTGTACTACGCGAAGCGTGTGATCGGTTGACACTTCCCATGGCTCATACTGTGGAAGGCCAGGTCTTCTTGAGGTATCTGGAAAAGAAGAGATAATATTTGACCGCAGAACCCAAGGGACATCTGTTTGAGGCCGGTCACATACGGCCTTTTGGAAAGTTTTGTTTTTTGCGTTTGAATCGGACTATGAATCACCGCAGCGTGATGGCAACGTACTATTTTCGGAGCCGATCTTTTCAACCCACCCCCTCGTTTCCTGTAGACGATGCAGAACCATCGTGACACTGTTGACCACACCCTAGTACAGTTAGCAGCACGAATCGCCCTCAAACCGCCATCAAAATGGAATAATTTACACTAACAACGGTAACTATTTTTCGCCTTACCACTATCCAACAGACATTCCTGGCATAGTGGAACGCCTTGAGGGAACAAGCGTTTCGACCGGTGTGGCTTGCTGGATCATTGTGATATGCAAGCCCGATTACCACGTCAAGGTAGCAGTTATCAATCGAGGTGAAGACAAAATTTGTTATGCGATAAATGTAGACTAATATCATGTTAAATTAATGGTATCAACTAATACAAATATAGGAAAATAAAAACGAAAGCTTTCGTGTTGTCCAGTTGTATACAGGTGTTGATTCACTAGGATTTGAACCACGCTTATAACGCAAGGATAAACAGGAGAGTTAGGGTGGCTGCATAATGATCCACTTTTCCGAATCGCACCCTAAATGACAATACACCAGTATCAAAGATAAAAACATAAGAAAGAAAGTAGTCGAGAGTGGCAAAAAGATGTGAAAGGGGAACAAGGAATCAAATAAACAATAAAGAAAGTCGATTTGACGATCAAAATGATGATAATGTGTGTACACAGCTGCACCACTGCAAAAGATTCTACAGTTTCTACCCACCGATTTCTGTTGTCATGCGGACCCAAACCGAGGAATCTATCTACATTTCCCTATACGGAGTAGATCAACGGTTAAAAAATTCGTGCATTGGTGGCAAGTTTTAGTCTGGTCTCCACGAGTCTTTTTCCAGCCTGAATCCACTTCAGTTAACATCATGAAACGTTTTGGATGATGGGTGATACATGTCCCAGCCATCTGAGTTGATGAAGATTTACAACCTGATCAAGGGAACTAACTCCTTTGCACATCGTGGTTGCATGACATACAATGTGGGAGACTTTAGGCTCAGAACCAACTTCAGTGGTGTAGATATATGCATATATTATCCTCGTCTTAACCGCCATAATAAATCTTATCATTTTCTCATTCCCCCTTTCCATCTTCTAATATCTTCTACTCCTGCTTCCTTTGACTGATTTTTCTTTCCTTCTTCATCTTCGATTTTACTGTCTTGTTACTTGATGTGGTGATATAAGCTGGGATACGAGAACTTAGACCGTTGCCCAGTAATGTCTGGTCCTATGTTAATGTTGATGACGATGACCGTAGTGTTGTCCGTGTCAACATATACGATTCATGCCACAAGAGTAACATGATCAGTTCATATCGAGAATCACTAGGTTCATTACACACATACAAGAAAGATAGGCGGATAATAATGAACAACTCAGAAATGGAGAAATATGTATCGAAGATGTTCTACATGAACCTGCACTTCCTTGGTCTAGGCACTTGGCTTAGAATCAGTGATTCTTATCAGTCAGAACCCTAACCAGCTTTCGAGGTTTGGGCGGTCATTAACCCTTACAGAGTAGCTGCGACTTATCTTCCAGGGTTTAGTTTACTATACTATCCTGGCTAACAAGATAGTGAACAAAATCTATAGAAGAATTAGTGTTTCATCAAAGTCATTTGGTTAAAATAAAAGTTGCAAGAGTCTCATAACATTCAATCCTCTAAATGTTATCCCAGTTTTGATACTGGATGATGATTGAAAGCGAAATGAAAATCTGATTTACGGGAAGATTAGAAACAACGGACTACGGGTTATCAACCTGAAACTCTACTAAGTAAGTTACAAGATCCTCTACCTTCAATCTCTACCTAGTATTCAATCAATCAATCAATATCAACATAAGACCAGGTATTACTGCGTAATGGTACGAGTTGCCACACCTTATATCAGTACACCAAGTAAAAAGGCAGTCAGGCGAAACATGAAGATAGGAAAATTCAATCAAAAGAAATATTAAGTACGAAAAGAGAGAAATGAAGAATGAGAAAATCGTGAGATTCGGTATAGCGTCGTTAAGATGATGATAATGTGTGTATACATCTGCACCACTCACATCGGTTCTCAGCTACATCATCACTCATTACCTAGAGTCTCCAACCAATCTCACTGGTTCCCCTTGTCCCGCCGACCCCAACCAACTAGTCTGCATAGCCCCACATGGCTCAAATCAACAGTCAGAGACTTCATACATTGTCATGCCATGTTTTAGTCTGGTCACCCCGACCCTTTTTCCAACCTCAACCCACTTCGGACAACATTGTGTGATGAGGCAGATGGCGACTAAGCATACGTAACTCATGTCCCAACCATCTCAATCCATAAACGTTCACAACCTCGTCTACTGATTTACCTATACTCCCTAATACTCTACACCCGACATCTGAGTTACTCATGTGGTGACACCATGGTATACGGTCTATACTACGAAAGCAACCGTGGTCAAACACTTGAAGCCTTCTCATCTCTTCCACCTTCAATGACCATGTTTCACAACCATACAGTAGAAGAGAGAGGCTTGCTGGCTGTGCAGTACACCAATAGACCTTAATAGATAATCGGATATCACAGCGGCATCACAGGTGACGTAAATTGGCAAAAGCCAATCGAGCCCTTTGTATGTGTGCAGAGATTTCATAGACCACTGAACCATTAGGGCTGGGATGATCCTACTTCCCAGGTAAGTCAAGTCATCAACACACTCAACTACTTCACTCTCTATTGTTAGCCGTGGCACCGTTGAAGACCAGTCTTGGAGCAGCAATTTGCATTTGGGTGGTGAGAACCGCATCCCAAATATTCTCAAATTCCTACTCAAAATGTTCAGAAGACTCGGCATCTTGTCGGCGTCTTCACCTAACAGGACAATGTCATCCGCATATTCTAAGTCTAACGAAAATTCTCCTGTGACTAGGTCAACGTCTGTGTAATCAGGAGACGACAGGGAAACCTCCATAAGAATATATATGATAAAAGTAAATAAGAATGGAGACAGTGAGCATCCTTGATGGATGCCCAGTATTAATAATACAAGTTTGTCAAACTACGGCTATCTCAGATAGTTCTTCTAGATTGTAAACATTTTTAAACCACATACTCACTCAGTTATTGGAGTTCTTAGTTTCATACTACTATTGAGAGATATATAACCAAAAATTGAAAAAGCCATTTGGACCAGATTCAGCGTAGTCACTGGTCGATAACATCAGTTGGAAAGGTAGCATAAGGTAGACAATATTTGCAGGTTGAGTTATACACATCGTGGGCTCGTTCTACTACCTTTTGAGGTGTGATTTCCGTAAACAGAGCTTATGACATCACTTTGGAGGTGTTCTGTAAAGCTGTTTTATCTAATAGTGAACATGTAGGATAAAGTTACAATATTCTCGGTCAACTACAACGCAAAACCCAATAACCTACATATGAGATCTTATATATGGTCTAGAATGACGACTGATAGACAAAATCCCACAGAAAATTGATTAAACTGTTTGCTATTCAACACCTTTCAGTATCCTTTTAACTTGGTGCAAGACTATGATGAAAGTTCCTGTAAGATTTTGATGAATCAAGTGTATAGGTCATTCGATGCGACTGTTTTTCAAATGGGTTCACATGAACTATCCCACGTAGTTACAAGGAGGCAACACAATGAATTGATGAGAAGTGTAATAATTGAACACGTTGTGAATACAAATCATACGATTTCACGAACCTGCTCATTAAAAGTCATTTAGTCAGTGAAAAGAAATCTTTCAAAGGCTGTACGTTTTCGTATTCTCTGTATCGCCAAAGCTCTTCCTAGACATATGCAGAAACCTGAGATTTTTGTGTATAAAAAAAAATTATTCAACCTCTACGCCTTTCATAGTCTTAATTCGTCAGTCTTTGAAATCAACACTCTTTCTTTTCACATTGTCCACTTCTTATATAATTTACTATTCACATGCTCGTTTCTATACTCCCTCTTATTATACTTCAGTTTGGAAATCTCTCATTATTTTACGAAATTTCATATTCAAACTCAATAGTCTTTATGTAACTCTAGTCATATTTTGATCAATCTTCGCTATTCATCACAGTTTTTCATTTTAATGACACCTTATGTATTCAAAAATTCAGACATTTAATGAAGAGGACTCTTTTCACCGAATTTATTCTCAAGGTGTATGCAGATTAAAAGGAGGGGGGGGGTGAAAGGAAATGCATTAGAAGTTTTATCCTTGAACATTTTATCGATTCCAACCATTCAACTGACCCAACACAATAATTGTAAGGTTGTCTATCGAATTCTCGCAAGTCTTATCCGTCTTCAACTTTCTTAAAATAGAAAATGTCTTGGCTATCCATGAATTGAAGCCTAACCTTTGTGTACAAAAGAAGTATGTATAGTCTTTGTCGCTACCTCGGCCTTAACTTATTTTATTTTTGGTGTGCGTCGTTCCTTTTTTGTTTTTTCAACTTCCCCTTTTATTAGGTTAATCTTCATACTCTTATGTCGTCACTATCATTATTTTTACAGTTAATAACTTCCGGTGTTACTTCATATGATCTTCCTAATAACTAGAACTTTGAAAAAACCATTTTCATTATCATCTTGACTATATGAGAAAGCCGTGCGTGATATGGCAGACTAGTATTGATACCGGGTGATGACTAAGGGTAAAATGAAAATTTAGACGGCGGCAGGATTCGAACCAGCGACCATCGAGTTTCCGGCCATCGTAGTTCAGTCAACCATAAAACACTAAGAAGAACACTGTGCAAATTTGCGATTGTACAGTTTCGAGAATGAATTCGCCGAAAAGAGAATCGTTGCTGAAATACTTGTTCTACCTTTATATTCTGATAGGTATCTTCCTTATAAATCCCAATTCAAGGACAAATTATACCGATAAACAGATAGTTTGATAACAGAAGACTCTCTGGAACTCTCTCGTAATAACATTTGAAGAGGACTGTGTGCCGCCGTAGATCACTAGTCAAAGTTCATCTGTTTCTCGTAAGTAATAACATGAATCATGTAGTATATTTGCTTGAAACAATACGTTTAACACGGAACATAGGAGACGTAATAAGTCTTATCGTATTTGAGACTTTGACTAAGGAAGCAATCAGATGTAACTACGTCCAGTAATTTTTAAAAAAATTCATTAGCGACAGAAATACGAGAACCATTAGATATATTTTCAGATTCCCCCACTACTACTCATATTTCATACAGTAGTAAAAATGGTTTTGTTCGATACTTGTAATTTCCCGTTGCTACATAGGGTAGAATTGCTCGACTTCAGTTGGCAGATGGGCTCCTATGCGGATGCCTCGATACTGCCAGCTGTTCATGATGTTGTATTCATCTGGGCGATTCACAGTGGATTCCAGAACACGTGTTTCATCCTGTTTAGGATTCGTCAGCTAGATGTACGAGCACTCCAGTGAGTGATATTGCTCCCTCCAAGACTTGAACTCAATACCATCTATAGCTTCAAACATCGAAGCATTATCCACTAGGCATTTGAAGCGATAGTACCGACTTCGAGTGTCATTGGGAAGAACATTACTCACTGGGATGCAGGCACATTCGGCTGATGAAACATGCGTCCTGGATTCCACTTCGAGTTACCAAGATGAGTACAACAGTAAAGATTATATTCTTAAGTAAATCAAAATAACGAACAGCTATTCATAAGACTTACACTTTCCACTTGATTCAAAATATTTGAATCGGAGGTTTGCAACGACATTACACTGCCAATATCTGATGATATATTGTCTGAACGTTGTGTATCCTTAGCTACGGTTAGAAAGAAAATAAGAAAAATTGTTTGGTAATAAAAAACGGCTAGTCCCTATGAGGCATTTGCATAATGCGATAAGATGGAGTTTATCTGAGAAATTTGATACAGTCGCACAGTAAATTTTATATAATCTGTCAAAAAAAAGATTTTTGAGGGATTTGTGGAGATTTGGAAATATTTCAAGTTGTTATTCATCGTAGACTGACATCAGTTGGAGGAAAAGGACAAAACAGCGCTGTCCAGTGCTCCCAGGTTTCCTTTGTTCCTCCAACTGATGTCAAGCTACGATGAATAACAACTTGAAAAAAAATATTATTTGGTGAGTTAAGTTTGGAGGCTTGTGGGGTTTAGTGAATCTTCTGGCCATACAACTTGATGGTCCTGGGTTCGATTCCTGGACGGCGGGGTCGTGGATCCGTACGGTTAAGAAATCCCATACTAGGACTAAGCACCTGTCCAATGCCCCTAGGTATCTAATGTTCTTCCAACTGGTGTCAGTCTATGATGAATACCAACTAATTTGGTGGGTGTTTTCTAATCAACCTTGGCATTAAAAGTGAGGTAAACTTAACCAATGAAGCCGCAAACAGATATTTAACTTTCGCAAACTTAAGACCTGAGAAAACTTAGGCATATAGACCTTGAAACTCATAAAATAATTGAAAAGCTGTTCACGGACTTATTTTTATGATGCATTTCATATTATGCTTACATATAAACGATGATAAATGTTCACTCTAACCCATATTCTCCTGTGTATTCGCAAATGCAACCTTCAAAAGAAGAGACCTCACTACAATCAACAGTCATGTGTAAACACACTTCACAACTATGAGTGGATGCATTTTTGACGACTTCAACAATACTTTAAACCAGTTGAATCAAACCCAAGCAAGGCGTGAATTAGGTAACAGATGAATTCTCAGAACACACAAACAGACAAATTAATCTAGAACATCACAGAGAAGTGGATCAGTTCAATATGCTGAACCTCACAGCAGCACGCAAAGAAGTGAAGTCAGGTGAGCTTGTATTTTTCTACAAAATCCAAACACTTGACGTCAAGGTAGGTGACTTGGCGTGTTCAACAAACACATGTCCAAGCCACCTCACAACTTCCTCAACTGATTGCCTCCCATGCCTAGTACAATACGTATCACCTCACCATTACACTCACATAGTGATTTCACTACAAGCAAGCATTGATACAAAGATAACAATAGTCAGACACCTGAAATCTCTCCATATCTTCTACTTTCAGCAGCCACATCTTAGTCGAATAATAGGACATACTGAAATTCAGCAACGCATAACAGACATTTAGAAGGTAGTCGGTTATCTCCGTATAAAGGCTGTCTTCTATTATTTGTCAAAAAGGAGTGTCCTTGAGAAGTTCGTTAATATATTATTAACAGCCTTAAAAAATAACATCTTAGTTTGAGTAAAGACACAGAGCTACCTACCTAAATCTTTCCCAAGCAATAGTGGTGCCATGCAATACTGCCCGATTTCGCCATTTCACTGATGTCATTCTCGAGACAGCTGCGAGCGACATGTGTTTTTGTGGCGTAGACCTTCCGTCAAAAGAGAGACTTTTCGACCTCGAGTGTGTAGATGATATCATTTTACCGTGCGATAAAATACAGGCTATTAAATCGCATTGAATCAGTCGGGCGCAAGTATCACTAAGCATGATATATGTTTCACACTATCAAAGTGCAAAATGCTCATAAAAGATTGGCAGCAGCCTGTATCTACACTCACTCCCGGTGGTGAATTGCTGAAAGTAGACGGAACGTTTGTATCGTACAGCAGCTAGTCATCTGAGGGGAACGACTTACTGCTTTTCAAAGAGCTGTGCGACTTAAACCTCGGAACCCACATCATGACGTAGGTGCTTACATCATAACGGTAATTGCTACCCATCTTACCACTGACCAGAAGACCTTTCTGGCATGGCAAGACCTCTAGAAAGTAACGTTCCCTCCTGCATAGCTCGTAGGGTGATAGTGATATACAAGACAGGTCATAATGCCAAGGTAGCAGCTATCCGTCGGTTGGGTGAACCAGTGGTTTTTGTACCTGACCACTTGTTTAAATGTTGTTTGGCGGCGTGACTGAGCTAAAGCGGCATGCGCTAATCTGGGTCACCTTTGACGCCGTCGGGTGGTTAACTTTGCTGCGAAATGCCGAGTATACTACAAGTCGGTACGGAGAGTTGCGCTCCACAGTCATGAAACTTGATCTATACTAGCGGAGCATGAAACCGGCTTCCTGAAGCCTACTCACAGACCCACCACCTTCAATCACCATATTTCACAACCACTTAGTAGGACTCAGTGAATAGCTGCGCAGTACACTCGACCACTCATCGTCATCAGCAATCAAGTGTATAAGTGAACATACAGGCAAGGCAACAAGAACCAATAATGAAATGCCTGATTGAAACCATAAAGAAAAAAAGAAACGATATTAGAACTCACATTTACCAGGACGAGCAAGACTGATGATGGATTCTTGTGTAAATTTCAATACTTCTTGAATTTCTCGCTTAAAGAAACTTTGTGTTTTCTGAACATACATCTAGAATAAACAAGCGCATTGAGAAAGGAAGAGGCTTGAAATGAAGTTTAGTTCTTAACGTAAGATAAAAAGGAAGATTAGAAAATACGTACATACTTTAAGATTATAAGATGATATGAGTCTGAAGAAAGGTTGTTGGTGTAACAGTACAGGTCTTGAGAATACACGACTCCAGAGAGACAAAATCAACGTAGAATCGCCCCCACATTGGTGCATCGGCTCACGTTACCACACTTCATATGAGTACACAAAGAATAACTGGATAGAAAAGGAGTGATATTAAAGTAGACGAACTACTGTGAGAGAATAGGTAATTTGAAGATAAGGGTTAATGTGACTACTTAAGCTTTAGAAGATAACAAGGAGTAAATACACCAAAGTGACGAATTTCCAGGCATGTCATCAACAGTCCTCAATCACTGATTTCTATCATCTCGGGGACCCCGATCAAGAAGGTTACATCTACTCACCCGACTGACACCAACAGATAACCTGCATTTGCACAAAAGAGTCCATAATATATGAATGTGAACAGATTTACAAATATGTATTATTATTTTTTTCCCTTGGGTTCCTAGTCGAAAATAGGGCTTCAGTAGCACGCCTCCATTTCACTCTCTTCTCTGAAGTCTTTCCAACCCGGCTCCACGACTACCCACAACCTTTCATTTCTTCTTCACATGATCTACTCCATGTTGCCCTCAGCTGGGACGCCCAACTCATCGTTTTTCCCCTTTGTATTCCACTCAAGGACCTGGCGTGTGACTTCCCCAGTCGGCATTCTCATTGTATGCCCAATCCATCTCCACTTTCTTCTGCATATTTGTTGAGTGATAGGCTGTTGGTTGGTTCGTTGACAGCCAGCCACAGTGAGTTCCTTGTTGCTTATTCGCATTATTCTGGCCATCTGACCTCATCTTCAGTATCGAGCGAGTGTAGGAGGCAGTTGTTGATGAATGTCTGTAGTTTGTTTGAAATGCTTTTCGTGACACGCCGAGTTTCTGAACCATATAGAAGCACTGACTTGAATGACATTGGTGTTGAAAATCCTGATCTGATCCTGTTCACGCTTTATGCTGAGTGCAGTAGATCTGCACACTGATTTCAGATTGACGAAGGTCTGCCTTGTTTTACTGACCCTGGCTTTGACATCCTCGTCTGTGCTGCTGCCACCTGTAGTTAACATGTCGCCTAGATAGGTGAAAGAGACTACTTCCTTTAGGTTTCTCCCGTTAATGGTGATCGGTGCTTGTTGCTCATGCTGTTGTTGGTTGAGTATCTTCATCACCTCCGCCTTCTCTACATTCACTTGAAGTCCCGTTTTCACTGCCTGCCTCTTCTGTCAACTTGTTGGGTTTGCCTGTACATCTTCGAGTTTGTGCCACAAGATATTATACATAAATCGTCATCGTTGGCGAAATCCAAATCTTCTTCCCGGGTCTCCTCATCAGTCCAGCCAGCCTATGCCCATCTTCTCACAACTCCTCACGGTTGTCTGTTGCATGATCCAGTCGACCACAACCAATGAGATTATCGGTGATAGTAGACGGCAGCCTTGTCTTACTCCTTCCTGTCTTCACTTCAAAGGCGTCGTTGAGCTTTCCACTGTGGATTACTTGTTATGTGGCGTCTTCATATAGCCGTTGAATGAGGTTGATAAAGACTAGTGGCACTCCGTAGTGTTGAAGCAACTGCCAAATTACTTACAAATATGTATACTTGACTGTAACTCGTTTCTCTGATTATCTGCTATCACTTGTTTTACTTGAGTTGATAACTGTAAAAACAATATGACGATTCCATGGAATCGTCTAATTATAACCTTTTGAGCAACAGGGAAACGTTCCAAATGTTTTCGATTATAGTATTTAAGAATGTAGTGAAAAATAAATGAAGTTATTACTAAATTGTTGCATCTCTATTACAATATACAAAAGATTATTCGTAGGTTTATCTTCAGCGATATTTAGATAGTCAATTGGTAAAAAACTATCATGTCCATATAAAGACAGGCAGACAAATAAACAGACAGTGGGAATAAATTAATTAAGGTTAGTGAAAGTGTACAGAATTCTGAAGATGACAGAAAGTACATACATGTGTTACTGCGATCAGTTTTGTATAACAATGATGATACTAAAAACCTCGATGATCATAGTGAAGCAGGTCACATTATCCGAAATAGATCAGATTAACGATCAGAGACTGACTACAGCAACTAATGCCATGTCCTAGTTCGACCACCTAGAACCTTCTTCAAACTATATACTATATTGGCTGAAATCATGAGTCGAGATAGTTGCTCTCTTAATGAGCACAAAACATGATCAGATCACCTTAATGTGTGGACGTTTATTAAAAATGAGTGAAACTTGAGAGTTGTGAAGGAATTTAGTTCCATTTTAGTTGATTTATTGGATGTTTCATTGTGTGATCCATCCTGCGAATCAAAGAGAGGACAATTAACTTTTCAAATGATTTCCTCTCATCACCAAATGCTCTACGCATCACTCTGACACTACTCATCATATAACTGTTCAAATGAATGTGAGTAATGTTATGAAAATATCTACGCTTGAAAGCCTCTACAGCTTCCATGAGTCTTCTACTCCAACTGTCATTAGGAGGGGAGAGTTTACCTAAGGATTTTTATTTGCTGCAAATCGGTAAACATTCTTAAACAGTTTCAGATAGAGATTTGATGTTTAATAGTTGAAGTGAAGGTGACTGTCGACAAACTTTATCAGGAATTGGAAACGTATTTCACCGGCATTATATAACTGCTCACATTTTGAGAAGACAGGCAGATACATAAAATCAACGTAGAAACTCCCACACAAGTGCATCAACTCGATGCTACATTTCATAGGAGTATACAAAGAACAGGTGGATAGAAAAAGGCTCATATGATGGTAGATAAAGTTGTGTAAGAGAATAAACAATCCGAAGATAAAGGTTAGTGTGAATATTTAAGCTGTAGATGTCAATGAGTGAATACAACAAAGTGACTGGTTTTTAGCCATGTCATCAACAGTCCTTAATCCCGGATTTCTATCATCTCGGGGATCCCAGTCAGGCAGTCTATACCTCCCAAAGAGACTCGGACCGACAGTTAGGGACTTCGCCACCCTGAACACTTCAAAAATAATCCAGTTTCCCTTCAGCATGGCACATCAAAGTAGACGATGGCTCAGCATGGGTAGTACATGCCCAAGCCATCTCAGTCGAATAAGGTTCACAACCTTATCAATCAACTTGACAGTCTTGCCTAGAACCCTTAGCTTCACCTCAACATTCCTCACTCGATGATCCTACCAAACGTGAGGAATCCTACGAAGACATCTTTGGTCAAGACTCTGTAATCACGAAACGTCTGCTACTTTTAATGACCTTGTCTCATAGCAGTATAACAGAACAGAATGGACTGCACCATTTCATCGGTAGTCAGATATCTTGCCAGCTGGTGCCATAGATGACGCAAGTTGGCGAATGTCAAACGGGCCTACTGTATTAGGGCTGAGATTTCGTCAGGAACCAACCCGGTCGGGTTGATGCAACTCTCTGAGTAGGTGAACCAGTCGACACATTCCACCACTTCACTCCCTATCATTAAACTGACTAGGAGTACTTGCAACAAACCAGTTCTGAAGCATCACCATACATTTGACAGGTACGAAACATATTCAGATTTCTGCTCAATGAGTTTCGCAGACCCTGGATTTTGTCAGTGTCTTCAACTAGCAGGACAATATGGTTTGCATACTCCAAGTCAACCACAAGCCTGCAGGAAACTAGATGAATTTTCAGAAAGGTATGAAAATATTTCACATATTCAACTTACTTCTTATTTAGCATCCTCTTAAAAATACTAGGACAATCAAAACTCTTTGAACTTTAAGTGAAGCCCAATGGCAGTTTTCCAGAGACCTATCCTATGTAACTTTATTGATATACTTATTGTTTCAAGTGGGTGAAATAAAAAATCATAAAATTTTTTCCCTAAGGACAGTAGAAAGACTAAAATCAAAAATGAACGAAGCATATTCAGGATAAAAATGGCAAAAAAGTCCACTGCCGTCATAAGCTAACGCAAGTGGCGACCAATGTAACTATCACGTCATGGAAATGATTCATCACATCTTCAGTGTGAATTGATAAGCCACCGTACTGCATACTGTTTTCCATTAGACGTTAGGAGTTGCCAGACAGGAAGTTTTAGACGTTATCACCAGTAAAACTCAATCAATACTTAATGCTATATATCTTGCGATCTTCTAGAGAATTGTTGAATGTTAACTGAATAGCTGGAAGATGAATACAACTTCAGCACTAAGTGACACGAGTTCCAATCACGAATGGAAAAAGTGTTCGTTAGTTGAATGGAGGCGACTGGCATAGTAAACAGCCCTGCTCGACTTAAGTTTCGCACGCAGTTGCACCCATCAGCAAGGCGTATCCGCAACCTTGAGGGGCGTAATTTTCTCTCCGAGATTCAAACGTCCATCGCCCAGTGTTCCAGTCTCATCAACATTATCACTGAGACCTTCGGGCCCATTACTAACCAGTGTCTCAGAAGGGCAGTAAGTCTTGTCTTCCTAGTCTTACGTTCTGTCTTTAAGTAGTGTGGGGATAGTGTTTCAGTGACCAGTATCAACTGTCGTGAGTATAGTGGGCATATAACGACAGTTCCTAGTTCGTAGCCAAACAGTTAGCAGAAATCCGCCACAATCCCGGTACTATTCGGTCACATCAGGGACGAATAGTTTCCTCAAGGTGGCAAAAACAACTTGGAGTTGATGAGTGACAAGAGATTCGAAAACTAGATTCAGGCCTCCACGATCACACACAACATAGATCACTTTTGTAAAATCCTCTCCAGAAATCGCGAAATAAAACGGTCAGTCGATCTTTCTTCCTATAAATACATCAAACTTCATAGTGGTCTGTAAAGTTCAAAACGCGCGATTTATTTGAGATGTGATGTTTTGGTAATCAATAACAATGATGATCATCTAACTACAAACTTCAAATTTTGATGTTTCTATGGGCTAAAGTGGTGTATAAAGTGCCATTTCGACAGAATATGAATTATGCTACTCAATGATAGTAAGTAGTATGAACTGAAAGCATAAGATATCTACGTCGGTGGCGTCAAAATAGGCGAAGAATTAACAAGCCTTATATAAAAACAGCGCGAGATCCTATAGCTTTCAATTCCTCAACACCAACCAAATCATTAAAAAGTTATGCTTACCCTTTTAATTTGAATGTATAAATCCTTTCTGTTAGTCTGTAACCAGTTACCGATAAGTGGAGCTAATTGTAGCATGTCTGTTCGTTGTGCAGCATACAAATCTTGAGCAATTCGATAAGAATTAGAAATAGCCATTGACGTTTTTCGACTCCCGATAGTACCACTACCCTGTTGACTAACAGTAGTTGATGATGAATCATTTGTGGTCAATGGTAAATTAACTCCAGTATTGACAATGAAACCAAGTTGACTAGCAAAACGCAACATTGTATCATTCACATGACCGGATAACTTGACAGCGAATGCATCACGTAGATTTCTCAACTCACGCATTCGTTCATCTACAGCCTGAAGGTGTTCTTCACCTGGACGTGTGTGTATGTACATAAAAGAGGTGTGTGTTAGTGTATAAATACATGATATGAAAAGCAGAATAACAACTGATTATACAGTACAATGCAGAACTGAAAACCAGGGTAAATAAGATAAAATAGTTGATTGATACTTGTGATTTTCCCCCAGGCTATGGAGTGTCGAATTGCTCGAGCTCTGTCAGCAGATGGGGTTTTATATGGATACCTCGATACTGCCGGACATTTACGATGAAAATAGTCAGAGGGAAAAACATCACTCACTGGGATACAAGTAGATACAGCTGATGAGTCCAAAATAGGACGGAATGCACCAGTCACCAAAATAAATACAAGGCTAAAATGGTGTCATGTAAAGTAAAGCAAAGAAGTGCACTCTATGAAGAATATAACTAGCAGTATCATCAAACATATTCAACTTCTAAACATAAAGAAATTAAAAGTAAGTGAATCTACATTACAGGAGTCATCCATAGAGCAAAGTCAACAGATTCAAAGTTATATTTAAACGAAAATGATGGGAAAGATTTGTATCTCAGGATCAGGATAACGGTGGTTTGGCGTTCTCTGAGCTTTGGTGTTTTCTTGTGGAAGTTTCACTTCACCAGGCTGGCTGACATCGTCAGCACTAAACTTTATAATCAAGTGAAGCATACTCACACAAATGTTACACAAGCGTATAGGTAGTTTTTTTTACCTTGAATGTTGTCTAATAGTAAGCTGATTAGAGAGACTTTAATCCAGAGTGAGTTGTCGTCTCAACCAAGGTTTTAGTTGGCAGACATTCCCTGTGAAGCTTTGATGATGATATCTAGCGTGGCAATGAAACGTTTGCCAAGTAAAAGCCTGGCTCCGATAGCAAATATTCGCCAGAAAAGATATTTTATCACACCTCGACCTCTTTGACAGCACATTTCATCCGGTCATGCTGATTGTAAAGAATCTTTATGAGAGTGAAATTGTGTTAGTTTGCTTGCACAATTTGAGCTCGGTGGATGGATGGCTGTTTTTTTCCTAAGTGGATTGTAGACTGGGTCTACATCCACGTGTACCTCGATTGAACTTTCGTTCGAATAGGATACTTCTATAAATTCAGCTTTTGAACCTGTTCGATAGAGGATTTCCACATTCTCTCAGCCCAATAAAGCTTGAATATTTTGACTTATACAAATTTTGAAATTCCCTCTCCTCCCATACACCTTTGCGTACTTTGATATGTATGCTATTGTAAAGTGTGGGAACTTGAGATGATCCACTTGTGTGTGACGTTCTGCATTGATTCTGTTTGTCTATCCTATTCGAATTCGTGATTGTCGACATGTTTACTTTCAGGAGTTAATACAAGAATCACAGCAGCTGCTGTCAATCGTTCAGTGACCTTTTTAGTCATACGGTTGCAGATTCCAAAAGACAGTTTCAGCAACTGCACACTTGGAAATTATTGCCTCTTGAGGGTCAGTGTATTCAATATACTTCACACAGTTACCCGACTAAACATTCGTGTAACATTTGCGTATACGCTTCACTTCTTTATGAAGTTAGTGTTGAGGATGTCACCAAACCTGGTAAAGTAAGTGGAACGTCCACAACAGAATATTAAAGTTCAGAGAACACCAAACCATCATGGTTATTTTCGCCTGTTTTACAGGCTTAAACTAACCAACTAACAATTCCTCGACTCAAGTTAATATTCGGTGTTTTAATGATTTGGTCTGCCAATCATACTTTTGTCAGAAATTTTTGAAATCCGGCCGTATGATAACGGCGTGAAAACTGTTTCCACAGGATCAGGAGAGCTATGACCCATTCTGCTAGTTTCGATGTGAGCAACTAGGCAGTGTCTTCAACTAATACAGACTATGAAACATACGGCATGCCTTACAGCCTGTACCACGTGGATGAGTCATTCTGGAGAGCTGTCTCACTGATTCACCTTAAACCTATTGGGGTCAGCCAATCAAAACTTTAGTGGTACCAGTGTGACACAATGTAATATACAAAGCTGTATGTGTTGGTGGTGTTTAGAATTTTGTCAAAATAGTTTGTCACCAATGTAGTACCATCCCTACGGCTGGTAAAAACGAGTAAAAGTAGCCAGGTTGCACCACGTGAATTACACCTCTTAAAAAGGCCTCATTTACTCTATAGCCTTACAATTCAGTAGTGACGTTGGGAACAAAACTATGCAGTATTCTGATCGTGATTAGGGGTGTATTTTCAAGCCTTCATTTCGTTCTGCTTAGGAATCTAATTTAAATGCCAGTATCCACCCCAAGATTGGAGACTGATTGTTATGATATATGAGTTGCTCAATACACAAGTAAGTAATGATAGCTACCTCATGCGCAATACATTCAATAAAGTGAAACTCCAAAGATTATTAGTGACTGGATTCAAGAGGGATTTTCAAAAGATCTAGTGGGGACACATAACCTATAATGGGAACTACACTGCAAGAGAGGATTGATGCCTATCGATGACACTACGATGGTTTCGCTATGTCACAAGCACTGAATTTCACTTCAACGGTTATATGATAATGTGCTCGTCATTACGCCTAACAATCTTGACTGTTATGCTACACGATTTTAGAAATGTGTACTGCCAAGAAGGAAACAACTGTGAAGTGTTCTTAAAAATTATTCAACTTTCTATTCAAAAGGACAAAATCAACGTAGGACCGATAGGTAGTTGCTACATTGATGTGATCATCAGTATTGTACATCACAATGGTCACTGTGACCCAACGAGCTACACTGGCTAGAAAGCATGTTCCCTGGAGGTCCGACCATACCAGAAAGGTGTGTTGGATAACGGCAGGACGAAAAGCAGTTACCGTTTGTCGTAGTGTCACTAGGTCAGTAACGCAGAAGTCCGGCGTAGAGTTTTATGAAGGAGAGAAGAAACATTTGATAAGGTCATGAACCTTTATCGACTGATATGGTTGGGATACGTGCTACGTACGACCTAGCCACCATCCGCCACGTCTCACAATGTTGGCCGAAGTAGATTCAAGCTGGAAAAAGGCTCGAACAACCAGACTAAAACATGACGTCAGTGTATGAAATCTCTGACTGTTCGTCTGAGACAGGTAGGCGGATACAAACTGGCCGGTTGGGGTTCATCTGACACAACATGACCCAGTGGTTGGATACTTAAGGTGATATGGCTCAAAATCGATGTCAGAGCCACGCTTTATTTTCATCTTAACCGTTATACTGAATTCAGCATTTTCTCATTCCTCCTTCCTCGCTTTTAGTGCTTTCTAACGCTTCGATACTTGTGCTGATATGTACTACGGCAGCTTGGACCCTTGTGCAGTAATGCTTGATCCGATGCTGATTCCCGCTGATTGACCGTTATAGTGCAGATTGCTACACTATGACAGGGATCCAAAGGTACAGTCGTACTGTTGTTTGGATGGGGTGTGACAGTAGTCAGAATGGCCAGTAGTACAATGCTGATGCCGCTTTCCCGGTGGGATAGAGTGGTTAGAAAAGGCTGACCCCAAAAATAGTACACTCCTCCCTGCCCTGCAGTTTTCCAGTACCGGCAGCAGAACAATCAAGTCTCATACCAACAATCCTCCAAAGGTTGCATGTGATAGGCCTCAAACAGGCGCCCCATGGGCTCTGAGGTAACAAAATCCTTCTTCTCTCCCATGTATCCCGTAGAAACAACTTCAACGGTGTGGGCAGCTGGGAAGTGTCAACCCCCATACGCCTTCAATAGTACACAAGACCCCATCAAACATAACCTATCCTCCTCAACCCTATCTCCCCCTTTGTTTTCACTTCCTGATACTATCATTAAGCCTATTTCACCTTCCCCAAACCTTTCATTCTAAGAGTATTGCGAACGATCGAACCCATCGAAACCTCATTCCTAGTCATCTAAGATCCCATTGTCGATTTCATCCTAGAGCTTTCACCGGCAATTTTCCGTTCAAAAAACTGTTTTTGGAACAATTGAAATGAGATAGAAACTATGCACACTGTATTTTGGTTATATTATTAGTCCACAAAGAAAGGAATTAGCTAGCCCTAAAAATTTTATTTCACATCAAAATACATGAAAAGTAAAATAATAGAAATGTAACAGTAAATATGGGTGAGAAGTACTTTAGTTATTGATTACTTTTTTCCACTGTGAAATGATGTACGGAAGATACTATGAGTAACTACACATAACCAGGTAACGATGAACTAAGAAATTGAAAAACCAGTCTGTAGTGATATGTAAGTGTCTATAGATTGCACAACTGTCCTGCTGCATAGAAAATGATATTCATTGCAGCACATCAGTTTGTAATGATCAGCAACTTAGTAATGTTATATTCTCCAAGCATCAAAGGGTATATATATATATATATATATATATATATATATATATATATATATATATATATATATATATATATATATATATATATATATATATATATATATATATATATAGACTCTCTTCGGCAGACACTCCCGTGAATATAGAATAGTTGTTTTTTGTGTGGAAGCTTGCTTCTTGGAGGAGTACTCTCTTCTTCGAACAATGTGAAACGTCCCACACTCGTATGGTTTTAAAATGGGGGAGAGTATTGTTCTTTAGGAAGATAACACAAACAAGATCACCCACCTGAGCTAAACATACTCTCCACCATTTGAAAATCAGCAACTAGAATACAACTCAGCGAAAATCAGTACAAATTTGTTAATTGTAATGATGTGTGAAGGCAATACTTATCGGATAGCTCACAACTCTTACTCAAGCAAAAGCTAGGAGTACCGCGACGGCATTGTGGCTCAGTGGTTTAGAGAGGTGACTATTAAACCATCTAGCCACGGGTTCGAACCGCGATTCACCTACCGAGGTTCGGGTAGCCAGATAAGCATGAATAGCGTTCCCACAAGTGATATGACTCGTCGCCTACACCACGAATGTTCACAAGGTGGCTGAGTGCGTTTTGGCAGTGGGGTGCTTTCTACATCAAGAGCTCCTGAAAACTTTAAGTACTTAAACACCAACAAGGCGCATACACAAACTAAAAAAAATGGCGGTTCTCAGTCGGTGACGTAGTATGGTGCTGAGGTTTACTGACACAACCAATCGACATGGGTGCCAAGATTAGTCATCAAACACCAAACAACCAGTCAGGCACAAAGTTACGATACTCCAGAATACCTGGATTAAGTATGATTAAAAAAACCGCATACTAACATGGAATCCATGATAGATTTTTCCCGAGACATTCTAAAAAACTTTTCATCTAACAATTAATGAAAACAAGTCACGACAACATCACTAAACTAACCAGACGATCGTTACAGATAAGATGGGAGAATGGAAAATGTAAAATCGAGAAGCCGATACAACTCAATGTCATTATCAATATCAACATACGATCAGGCATCTCTGCTCAACTGTCGAAGCTGCCACACCCATATCAGCACAACAGAAACAGATGGAAAAAATCAACAAAGAACCTTACATACGAGTGTATCAACTCAAATTGCCACAATTCCCAGTACGATATAAAGAACAAGTGGATAGAGAAAGACTGATATCAAAGTAAACAAAGTCGTTTAAACCATCTGAAAATAAAGGTCAGTGTGAATATTCACGCTTTAGTGAACAGGTCTGCATCATTGTCATCGATTTTCAGCCATCTCATCAATCACAGATTCCTTTTATCTGAAGAACTCCAACCAAATAGTCGACACCAGTGAACACGGCTGACAACAACAGTTAAAGGATTCAACGACTGGTGCAACAATCTTGATATGACCACCCTCAACTCTCTTACGATTTCATCAAACTTCCAACACCAGCATAACACATCGATGTAGACAGTGGATCGGCATGTACAGTACATGCTAAAGCCATATCAGTCGAATAAAGTTTACAACCTCATCAATCGACTTGCCTGTCTTGTCAATTACCCTTCGCCTCATCTCAACATTCCTCACTCGGTGATTCAACCACACAGGAACAATGCTACGAAGGCACCTATAGTCAAAACACTGTATTCACTAAATGTCTTCCACTTTCAACAGTAATGTCTCGTAGACGTATTACAAGACAGAACGGACTGCAACACAGTATACTCTTCTTCGAAACCGTAGTCAGATATCTCGCCAGATGGGCCCACAGATGACGCAAGTCGGCGAATGTCAAACAGGCCTTCTATATCCGGGCTGAGATTTCGTCAGCAAATCAAACCGGTCGGGTTGATGCAACTCCCCAAGTAAGTGAAGTGGTTCACACATTCCTTCAATTCATTCCCTATCATTAAGCTGGAAGTACCTGCAACACATCAGTCCTGGAGCATTAACTTACATTTCACAGGTGTGATTAAAAGGAATCCTAAAAATACTCAGATATCCACTCAACGCATTCTGTAGACCCTGAAATCTGTCAGCGTTTTCACCTCAGAGGACGATATTTTTATTTAAATATTTGTTCCTTGGGTTCTTAGTGGAATATACCGCTTTAGTAACACGACCCCATTTCACTCTCTTATCTGCAGTCTTTCAATCTGGCTCCACAAATACCCACAACTTACAACTTCTTCCTCACACCACCTCCTTCCTACATGTCATCCTCGACTCCAACCCTCAACTAACTCGTCCGTTCCCATTCACGTTCCACTCGACCACCTGGCACGTGATGTCCACAAACCATCTTCTTTATCACTCTATGTCCAACACAATACAATACAATACATCTCAACTTTCTTCTTTCTTTCATATTTCTTCAGCGATAGCTTCCATCTTGCTTCGTTGACAGCCAGCCACAGTGACTTCCTTCTTCCTTGTTCTCCTCGTCATCTCATCCTTCGCATCTTCAGTATCGAGTAAGTGTAGGTGGCACTTGTTCATCATCTATGTCTGCACTTTGTTGGAAATGCTTTCCGTTACGCGCAGCCAACTCTCTCAACCATCACATAGAAGCACTGACTCACTTGACTGACATAAGTGTTCAAAATCCCGATCCCGGCCTGTCTTTCTGTCTTTCCGATCCTGACTTTAACATTCTCATCTGTGCCGCTGCCACCAATAATCAAAACGATGCTGCCTAGGTAGGTGGAAAAGTCAGAAGTATATTAGATCTCAGAAATTGTGTTCAGAATTCACCGAAGTAGACAATTGACTTCAACCAGATCATTATTAAAAGCTCGAACACACACACACACACAGAAACTTGAATTTAGCTCCAGAAATTCGTTTTCGTAGTGATCATTGACAAAGTCTTTGTGCCAAAAAGTTCAGTGTTTCTACCACTTATCATCTATCAGTTTCCTATTCACATTCAGCAAATGGTTGAGTTGAAAGATTCGAACTAAGCACCCAGCGGCAGTTCTTCACTTCACTGTTCATTGTTCGATTGCAAATCAGATAATGATTAGAGAGAGAAAATGTTACAACCATAGTATAACTTAGATTATGACAAATAAAACTAATCACCACAAGCAGCTGAACAAATGATAAGTATATGAATTTTTCTTTCAACGAAAAAAAAAAGTTTAATCAAAACAAAATAGATGGATTAAAACGATTAAAATATACCTTCCCTTAATCCTGAGTTCATTACACGATCTAGGTAGAGAGCTGCCTCAGTGCAAAGGATAATACCCTCTTGTGTACCTAAATCACCTTCCATCAATGCACGAAAGTATTTTGGATCAACATTCAAGCGGTCAACCAATTCTTCAAGAACGTGAAGTAAATTGGCACGATTATCCACTGTTGTCTGAATCAACTGGTCATGATCACGTAGTGTAGACATGGCATCTTCAACTTCCTACAAAAATAAGCGTGTGTGTGTGTGTGTACATGTTTACAATTTATAGTTATAAAATGATTATTATTAATATTACATGTTAATTGAGTATTAGGTAAGCTAAGATATTTCTCCTTTGTGTGGATTATCATTATCAGTAAGCAGCATAACAGTTCATGTTATCACAGCCCAATCAGCACATCAAGCAAAAGACCATTCGGATAAAGAAATTTAAGAAGAATCTGTCATAAGAGCAGTAGAAAGTAGTACAAGAAAATAAGGATATGTGGTTAGATCTGCGTTAGTGACAACCATTCTGAGCCATGTTACCACCAAGAGTCTCCAACCACTGGTTAATGTCGTATCACGTTGACTTCAACCGACTAGTCAGTATCTCTCTACATGGCTCACTTAAACCAACAGTTAACAACTTCATGCAGTGATGTTATGTTTAACTCCAGCCGTCTCAACTCATTTATCCAGCCTAAACTCACCTTTAGCTAACATTGTACAACGAGGTGGACAGTGATGACTAGACATGCGTAACGAATGAAAGTTAAAATTGTAAAAGTTTCGTCAGACTTGTTAGTATCGACTACTAATTCTTATCGGGAATTATTATATAACTTGTAGAATAAATTAGAGGTAGTATTTATCACGGACTGACATCAGTTGAGGAACCCCTGAAAATCTGGGATTATTGGAGTTGCTTCGTCCTAGTATGGCACTTCTCAGCAGTACGCCTCCACAACCCGGCTAGAGATGGAACTCAGAGCCTTAAGGTTTCACGGCGAACGCGTTAACCATTCAGCCACCGAGTCGGCTTTTAGTGGTTCAGTTTCCAACTTCTGTCAATTCACGATAGAGCGCGACCATCACCCAAGGTCTTCACTTGGCATCCACTTCCTTTCAGACTGACTGAACCCATAGATTACAGCTTCTCATTACAACTACGTGATATCCATCTGGAAGAGTGTCACTAAGGAGTACTATACAGTAATGTGTTTTTCAGAAGTATAGGGATTTTGATTTACAGGTAGTATTCATTACGGACTCATCATCAATATCAACATAAGACCAGGTATTACTGCGTAATGGTACGAGTTGCCACACCTTATATCAGTACACCAAGTAAAAAGGCAGTCAGGCGAAACATGAAGATAGGAAAATTCAATCAAAAGAAATATTAAGTACGAAAAGAGAGAAATGAAGAATGAGAAAATCGTGAGATTCGGTATAGCGTCGTTAAGATGATGATAATGTGTGTATACATCTGCACCACTCACATCGGTTCTCAGCTACATCATCACTCATTACCTAGAGTCTCCAACCAATCTCACTGGTTCCCCTTGTCCCGCCGACCCCAACCAACTAGTCTGCATAGCCCCAAATGGCTCAAATCAACAGTCAGAGACTTCATACATTGTCATGCCATGTTTTAGTCTGGTCACCCCGACCCTTTTTCCAACCTCAACCCACTTCGGACAACATTGTGTGATGAGGCAGATGGCGACTAAGCATACGTAACTCATGTCCCAACCATCTCAATCCATAAACGTTCACAACCTCGTCTACTGATTTACCTATACTCCCTAATACTCTACACCCGACATCTGAGTTACTCATGTGGTGACACCATGGTATACGGTCTATACTACGAAAGCAACCGTGGTCAAACACTTGAAGCCTTCTCATCTCTTCCACCTTCAATGACCATGTTTCACAACCATACAGTAGAAGAGAGCGGCTTGCTGGCTGTGCAGTACACCAATAGATCTTAATAGATAATCGGATATCACAGCGGCATCACAGGTGACGTAAATTGGCAAAAGCCAATCGAGCCCTTTGTATGTGTGCAGAGATTTCATCGACCAGTGAACCATTAGGGCTGGGATGATCCTACTTCCCGGGTAAGTCAAGTCATCAACACACTCAACTACTTCACTCTCTATTGTTAGCCGTGGCACCGTTGAAGACCAGTCTTGGGGCAGCAATTTGCATTTGGGTGGTGAGAACCGCATCCCAAATATTCTCAAATTCCTACTCAAAATGTTCAGAAGACTCTGCATCTTGTCGGAGTCTTCACCTAACAGGACTATGTCATCTGCATATTCTACGTCTAACGAAAATTCTCCTGTGACTAGGTCAACGTCTGTGTAATCAGGAGACGAGAGGGAAACCTCCATAAGAATGTCTATAATGAAACTAAATAAGAATAGAGAGAGCGGGCACCCTGGATGGACACCACTCGATGAGTACAGCTTACCTGATATCTCTCCATAGGCTCTAACAAGCCAGCAAGTGTTCGAGTAGAGAGCTTTCAATAAAGTGATGTACTTACTCGGCACATCTTTCAGTGAGAGACATTGCCATAAGACTTCTCGATCAACCGAGTCGAATGCCGCCTTCAGGTCGAGAAATATAGCTAGTGTTGGGCGTTGGTAAGCGTGCCTGTGTTCCAAAACCTGGCGCAGTGTGAATATTTGGTCGAAACACACACGGCCGGTTCCAAAGCCTGCCTGTCTGGTTTTCTCGGGCTTGTTGTTCCCGCGCTCCACTCAGGCATCGAAGAATTATAGAACCTAAGATCTTGGACACTGTTCGTCAGGCTGATTCCTCTGTGGTTACCACAAGAGAACTTCTCACCTGTCCTGAACATTTGGATAATTAGTGATCTAGACCAGTCAGAGGGGATCGTATTTGATTCCCATATACTAGCTAACACTTCCGTTAACCTAAGAGCACCTCACCGCCATCCTTATATACCTAAAGAGTTAATTCGTCTGGTCCTGTTTTCCCTCCTGGTTTCAGGTTACCTACCGCTTTCTCGACTTCTGCCGGTGTTGGGGGGCAACCTCAATGTTCTATTCTGGATCCGACTGGATAGTGGGCAAAGTAATGGTGGATGGAGGCCAGTTACATTGTTCCTCGAAGTGTTCTGCCCATCATTCCAGTTGTCTCCTCTGCGAGTGAATCGCTGATCTGTCCTTCTTCCCCCAGCTTCCTTAATAAGTCTGAGTAACTGTCTACTGTTACCAATCGCCGCCGCCTTTTCCATCTATTTAGCCTTCGCTGCCCACCACTGTTTGCAGTCGTTGCGCAGACTTTTCATCAGTCTACTTTTGAGCTGTGCCCGCTCTTCATTGTACTTGGGGCCTGTAGGGAGGCCTTCACAATCATCCATTAGTTAGGAAGAAGCTGCTGATATCCACTGGCTCTTTTTAGCCAGCCACTCTTTAGGAGTCGGCTACGGTCTTCAGCACTGCTTTTACAGCAGATGGGAGATGGCACCATGCTTCTTCTGGATAAGTGATAGTGTGATATTCCGATAACTGCCTAGCCAACTTCTCACTGAACACGTCTTTGGTGTTTTTGTTGTCAAGCGGTACTCGTGGTGATTTTGTTGCCAAATTTTTCCTATATCCATTGAGACGCAGACACATACGCGCTCGAACCAACGCGTGGTCGCCATCCAGGCAAGTACTTCAGGAGGAGCGGCATTCTCCCACCGATTCTCTCCAGCGATGACTGATAGCAATGTGGTTTATCTGTGTCCATCGCTGGGTTGAGCTCGGTGGACGCCATGTCAGATAGTCTCTTTTTTTATGTCCGAAATTTGTGCTAGCTAACATCAGTTGGGGAATCCTTTAGAACCTTGGAGCACTGTACAACTGTTTCATCCTAGTATGGGACTTCTCAGTGGCTGAGTGGTTAACACGCTCACTATGAAACCTGAAGGCCCTGAGTTTGATGCCTAGTCGGGTCGTGGGTGCGTATTGCTGAGGAGTCCCATACTCAGACGAAACAGCTGTCCAGTACTCCTAGATTTTCAATGGTTTTTAAACCGGTGTCATTTCGTGATGAATACTACGTCTAAGTTAAAAATACCTACTTATCTCAAAAATACATTCGTTGAATAAATGTTTAACAGGTGATCAATTAAATCTTTCATTATCTCAAGATTTAAATAATACACATATCAACCAGACTGTTAGGAATTCTATTGTATGAATTCAAAGAATACATACTAATGAAAAGCAATGATAATCGAACTGTTGGCACTACAATGCAGATACGAATAGACAGATAAATTAGCGTAGAACTTAGTGTAAACATTCTTTATTTCATAATGCGATACCATACCTTACACTAGCATACAAAGAAAAACCTGGATAGAAGAATGGTATTGAATTAGGCCAGAAGGAATAAATAAATTAGGGGTAGTTGGAACGCTTAAAAAGAGTACATATATGTGTACCGCCTTGATTCATTTCAATCTATATCACCAAGAGACTGAAACCGTTCTCATTCCAAAACATCAAGAATACCCAAGCCAGGAAGTTCACATCAGCTAACACACTTCTGATGAAGACGGGAGTAAGACAAGGCTGCCTACTATCATTCATCATCTTCCTGATTGTGGTTGCCTCTATTGGACTGGACTGGATCATGCAACAGACAACTGTGAGGAGCGAGATGGGCATACATTAGCTGGACTGATGAATAGACCCCGGAAGAAGATTTGGATTTCGCCAACGATGACGATTTATGTATAATATCTTGTGGCATAAACTCGAAGATGTACAGGCAAAAACCAATAAGTTGACAGAAAAGGCAAGGCAGTGAAAACGGGACTTCAAGTAAATGTAGAGAAGAGGGAGGTGACGAAGAACCCAACCAACAACAGCATCAACAACAAACACCAATCACCATCAACGGGGGAAATTTGAAGGAGATAGTCTCTTTCACCTATCTAGGCGGCATCCTTTCAACCACAGGCGGCACAAACGGGGACGTCAAAACCAGGATCGGAAAGACAGCAAGATAGGCCTTCCTTTATTAATCTGAAATCAGTGTGAAGATCTATTGCACTCAGCACAAAGCGTGAACGAGATCCGGATTTTCAACGCTAGTGTCAGTCAAGTTAGTAAGTGCTTCCATGTGATGGTTGAGAGACTTAGTGGTGTGTTACGGAAAGCATTTCCAACAAACTACAGACATTCATCAACAACTGCCTCCTACACTCGCTCGATACTGAAGATGAGGTCAGATGGCCAGAATAATGCGAATAAGCAACAAGGAACTCACTGTGGCTGGCTGTCAATGAACCAACCAACAACCTATCACTCAACAAATATGCAGAAGAAGAAGATGGTGGAGATGGATTGGACTGGGCATACAACAAGAAGGCCGGCTGGGGACATCAGGTGCCAGGCCAAACCATCGAGTGGAATCCAAAGAGGAAATGATGAGTTGGGCGTTCGAGGCGAGGGTGACATGGAGATGATATGAGGAATAAATGAAAGGTTGTGGGAGGTGGTGGAACCGTGTTGGAAAGACTTCAGAGAAGAGAATGCAATGGAGGCGTGCTACTGAAGCGCTATCTCCCACTAGAAACCCAAGGGACAGTGTAAAATATATAGGCAAGAGAGATAGTCATCATTCAAGCGTTTTAACAACTAACCTCTAGAAAACGATAATAATTATTCAATTGTTCCTCTAACATTTCAGCTCTTTCAATAGCGCTATCCAATGTTGTCATAAGACTTAATACTTGAGTCTCAGAGGCCATAATTGAATGAACATTTGTCTACAAGAAGAAAAACAAGGAAAGGGAGACTGGAAACAGTTGATATGTTGAATAACAATAATATATGCATCAAGTTATCAATCAATTTCTATCGGGAAACTGTTCGGTAGATAAATATGGATCCAATTAAAAGAAATTTTAATGAGTTGATTACCCACAAATCGACATCATCTAACGAGTTACCCAAAACTGGGGAGTATTGTGAAGCTGTTTCTTATTCTACTTTGTAACTTCTCAGAAATGTGCTATCATGATACTATACAAGATTGAAGAGCGGATTATCATGTGGCTTTGCGGTAAAAAATTCACTTTTCAATCATAAAATCACTGAGTGAATGACAATAAATACGCGACGGAACATTTCGATTGGATATTAATAGCAAATGTTCTCCCTTAGTACCTTATAGTTTACTGAGTCGCGGAAATCAAAAGGCAAAAACTGGTCTGTGAAGACTGTAAAGAAAACACTTTATTCAACAAAAATACATCATATATATGCAACTTAGATCAACATATAAAATCACTAGGTCAAAAGTAAAATAACTTATTCGGATTGGTCTACTGTAGGACAAAATTGTCCAATAAGGCTTTTCCTGACTACACAATGACATGAAATAAAAATTGAAGTGCAAAAGTTTCTACCTTAGCGGTTGATGACTTAAAAGGCTGATCGTGAATTGACAGAAGTTGTTTGCTTTGAGATGACCCCACTATTCTGGACTCGAACCTAGTCAGATTCACAGTTAAACATCGCTAAAGAAGTGGCTACCTGGTTCTTAACGGTTCTCTAGCCGATTTTGATTCATGATGAAAACCTGCGATTGGGTCCAACAACATGTAACCCGAAACAGGAGTTCCTAATAGGTGGCAACACTATATAGTTCTGAGTGGTGATAGAATTCTATCCATGAAACTCGTCATATGACCCCAGGAGTAGATGATTCAATGACATATTTGAACTCGGGCAAGTTGACAGTAATCCAGCAAACAGACTTCCTTGAAATTACTAACAACCTTAGGAATATGAACTGACACCATTCAACATGGTAACCAGAGACTTAAACGCTGAATCAAATCTTGCAAAGTCGATTACACCACCCTTAGTCCTCATGTCAATCATGTTGTTTTTGAGTGGAAAAATGATAATAAGTGGTTGACAGCAACTTTTAATAACCAATCTACGTAATCTGTGAATATTTCTGCTCTGTCTTGCAATTAGCGTAAGGAAACAGTGGACTGTTTTTTTCAACCAGTGGTGAGATCGAAGATAAAGAAACCACGAAAGTAGTAGTACGCAACTCAGGAACCCAGTGTACATTCATCCAGTAGATAATATGCCTCACCTATTGTGTGAAGAATATTGATACTATTTAGTTGCGCAAACTGCAAATCGAACCACATTTCTACAAAAGCTGAAGAACGATAAGACCTCTATCTGATGCTTCAATATTTCCAGCGACTTATCAACTCATTACGTGAAACACAACTCTTCAACAACCTGCAGGTTTGTGTAGTAGATAAACCCCTATACCTGAAGGTATGTGGTGACTGATGACACGGTGGCGTGCAAAAACTTCTACCTTAGCGGCTGATGACTCAAAAGGCTGAGTTCCGTTTAGTCCACTTCCTAATAAACCAACACACTTTAATAGACCATGTTTTCCAACTGCTGAGGCTAGTACTGACGAACTTGAAGATGGATAGCTTGAGGTTCCAATAAAAAGTTGTAATCTGTGGTGTCAACCAAGCCAAGTATTAGGATGGACACACACTGTTGCATTGAACGGTGGTCATGCTTTATTTTGAATTGACAGAAGTTGCTTGCCCTGAGATGACCCCACCAGTCTCGGCTCGACCCCGCTCACAAATCATTGAGTTTGAAACTGTGACCAACCGGTAGAAAGTAGTGCCCTATTTATATGAGTCACAGTGCTAGTTCATGAAGAGAACAAAACTCCCAATTAATAAAACAAAACATGATTGAGTCAAAAGCAAGACAAAACAATGCCTTACACCTTCAATATGAGCTAATTGTTCTTGTAAACGTTCTGTAAGTTGTGAAACATTCAACAAAGTTGAATCATTATCAAATTCATCCAAAAATTGACGTATATCCTCTTCTTCACGTTTTGTTAGTGAACGATAAGTATCAGAAACTGGTGGACTGATATCTGTCTTACTTGGATCTAATGATTTATCACCGGATTGACTAACACCACCTGTTGAATCATCAATCTCAGGATCTGGAATGACCAATTATGTAAGAGGATATGATTATTGTACAACAGAAGAAGAGAAAAATTTAATACAAGATTTCAAAATTCAGAGAAATTATTCAGTTACCAGTAGTGATGACCATTTCTATATAGCCTGGACTGCTTTTCTAGTGTTACAACATATAATTGAACATTATGGCATCAAATTTCAAGTTGGTTCGAAACAATTAAATCAGGAAATATGCACAATCTCTTCTCTTTTTGTCTCTAAAACTCAATACAGTTTTCAAAAAGCAGAAAAAGAGAGTGATTCGAAACAAAACAATTCAAACCAGCACCAACACCAACACCAACAGAAACAAGCAGTGTGAAATAGTGAGCATGCGTACAGTAAAACCATTTTTCCAAGTATCTGGAACTAAGTATACAAACAGTTTAGTTAACCTATTGTTATCGCAATTTTAACAGATGGCCTACACCTTTCTGATTGATTATCGTCAAACTGTAAATCTGTCATCACGAGCACCCTACTCGCCTTTCCCTAATCATTGACTGATTTTCGAACATAAACGAGGTAAAATTAGCCTTTGCATAGGAAGTCGATGGATGTGATAGATTGATTAAAGTTAAACTAAACCTTTGCATTTTCAGTAACACTTTGAAGGACACCAACCTGCTGGCTCTGATACAGTTCGATTGGTATATTTATTATGATTATTTGTCCCCTGGATTCTTAGTGGAATATACCGCTTTAGTAACACGACCCCATTTCACTCTCTTATCTGCAGTCTTTCAATCTGGCTCCACAAATACCCACAACTTACAACTTCTTCCTCACACCACCTCCTTCCTACATGTCATCCTCGACTCCAACCCTCAACTAACTCGTCCGTTCCCATTCACGTTCCACTCGACCACCTGGCACGTGATGTCCACAAACCATCTTCTTTATCACTCTATGTCCAACACAATACAATACAATACATCTCAACTTTCTTCTTTCTTTCATATTTCTTCAGCGATAGCTTCCATCTTGCTTCGTTGACAGCCAGCCACAGTGACTTCCTTCTTCCTTGTTCTCCTCGTCATCTCATCCTTCGCATCTTCAGTATCGAGTAAGTGTAGGTGGCACTTGTTCATCATCTATGTCTGCACTTTGTTGGAAATGCTTTCCGTTACGCGCAGCCAACTCTCTCAACCATCACATAGAAGCACTGAATCACTTGACTGACATAAGTGTTCAAAATCTCGATCTGATACTCTTCACGCTTTATGTTGAATGGAGTGGAGTGGAGTGGAGTGCAGTGCAGTGCAGTAGATCTCCACACCGATTTCAGATGAATGAAGGAAGGCCTGTCTTTCTGTCTTTCCGATCCTGACTTTAACATTCTCATCTGTGCCGCTGCCACCTGTAGTCAAAACGATGCTGCCTATATAGACAGGTAGGTTAGAGACAACTCCGTTTACATTTCTCTCTCCTGTTGATTGGAGCTTGTTGTTGTTGGTTGGGTATCTTCATCACCTCTATCTTTTCTACGTTCTCTTGAAGGAAGTCCCATGTTCCCTCGCTGCTTCGCTACGCCTTTTCAGCCAACTTGTTAGTTTCCACCTGTGGATCTTCGAATTTGTGCGACATTATACATAAACCACCATAGGAGAAGTCCAAATCTTCCACGGTCTTTTCACCTGTCAAACATCGTATGCCCATCTTCTCACTCCTCACAGTTGTTTGTTGCATGACCCAGTCCAGTCCACTACAATCAGGAAGATCATCGGTGATAGTAGACAACCTTGTCTTATTCCTATCTTCACTTCACTTCAAAGGCATCACTGAGCTTTCCATTGTGAATTGCTCGGCATGTAGCATCATCATCCAGCTATTGAATGAGGTTGGTAGAGGTTCGTGGTACTCCGTAGTGTTGAAGCAGCTGCCAAATTACTTCTCGGTCGACGCTATCGAAGGCCTTTTCAAAGTCGATGAAGTTAAGGTAAAGAGCTGATCTATTGGTATATGAATGAGTAAAATTGCCCACCTAACCAGGCCCCAGAGATTGTCAGTTTGTTTCTCAGTGTCTGTCGCTGTATTAAAAAGACTTACATGGTGTCATCAACAAAGTCATTTCTCAGGAGCACAATGGTAATAAATTTTAATTTCACCTCAGATCTTAAAGATGTGGGAACTAGTGAAATAATACATATGGTCGACTACATATACATGTTGAAATATAACCTTAAGGTCAAGCTGAAATTAGTGCGCAGCACAAAGATTTATATCTTTGCCTCAGGATGAGATAGATGCACTTGATTTCGACCGAACGTACCTAAAGGCAAACTGTTTCTTCATCGGCATCTGATTTCTTTTCTGAGCCTCAGTTAGAAATTAAACACTGTGTGTTCTAAAACGTTTTCCAAACAGCTTAAATTCAGTTGCTTTTAATTTCCATGATAACTTTCGTTTACTTGTGTGAACTCTCAGGGAAATAATCATCAAGGGTGTTTTGAAGAAAGCTTGTCTGACTACAACATTTCAGTGTAAAATCCATAAGAGTGGAGGAGAACCAGAATGTACTGATGTTCACTGTTCTACGTTTAGTATGATGTTATAAACTTCAACAAGAATTGGAGTGCAGATGAAAACTTTGCACTTATGCCGTGAGTGGATTGTGAACAACTTAAGTTTAGCCAAGGGACTAGTACCCTACCATGAGGTCTCTTGCATCGGTTAGCACCATGCGATAATGGTAGGCATCCAAAGACTGGGACACACTTTCGTCTATCAGTGATAATTTCAAAGCACTACTCACATGTGACGAAATTCTCCAAAGTGCTAACATTGAAACTTAGACTCCCAGTGGTATAAGGATTTAATCTAGAGAAAAAATGAGTGAAAGTTGGTTACAAAAAAACCCACTGAACAATAAAAAGATATAAGGCCTGTGAGACAAAAGAAATCGATTATTGTTAGCCTTAAATGATAAAACAACTGTTGGTCAGTCAGTCAATCAATATCAACATAGGACCAAGCATTACTGCATAACGGTCCAAGTTGCTACACCACATACTACCACAACAAGTAACAAAGCAGTAAGATGAAAAATGAAGAATGCAGTAAAATGTGTGGATAAACCCCAGTCACTGAGATCGACTCAGAGCCATATCACCATATAGTCTCTAACCACTGGTTTTTCCTGTCCTGTGGACTCCAAGCATCTAGTCTGCATCTTCCGATATGGCTCATACCAACAGCCAAAGGCTTCATGCATTGATGACATGTTTTAGTCTGGCTGCCTCGAGTCTTTTACCAGCCTGAACCTACTTCAGCCAACATTGCACGACGAGGCGAACGATGACTACGCATACGTAACGCATTTCCCAGTCATCTAAGTCGATGGTACTTGACTAGCTTAGCGTTTGCAGCAACCCTTCCGCTTAGTGGAATCAGCATATGAGTCATACAGAGGATAAGTATGCATAAATTAAATGTTGAAATTTTTTTACCTTCATCAATTGACGTGGTCGACACTGAAATGTCCATCTCAGCTAGAATGGAATTGTTGAAAAATAGTACTAATTCATGATGTTTCTAAGTGATCTAAGCCACTGTCGGGTTCCACAAAACAATCAGAACTAATATTTGGTGATATGGTGGCCTGGTTGCAGTAGCTCGAGTGGGTTTACAGCACATCACAATCAACTGCTGAAGACTGTTATCATATACACATCAGATGTTAGGTATTTTAGATCCTCTTTTCCAGAATCATTTCACGACTGTTGACGTTTATTATTTCGATTTCGTACATATAATACGCTACTGAACAAACAGACTAATTAGAAACCACTTACGATAGTCTGTAGATTCCGCGAGCCAGACAAGTTAGAGTGGTCTAAACACCGAACGGCTGGATAGTTCGTTTAGAACCAAGACCCCCAGCAGTGAGCACGGACAAACTCAGCTCATACAACCGAATGAATTCAAGTCACCTGAATATGGCTAGCTGACTTCTATGGACGGCTATGCCTTAAATAGTTCGCCACACTTTCGTGCCAGAGATCACATCTTGCGATCCTGGTAGGTGGGTAGTTTCCAACAGAAACCCTGTTGGAAACACAGTTGAGCAGCTGAAAAAGTAATCAGCTGTGAGGAATGTCAACGCGGACCATGTAATTTGTAAATCACCTGTAAATTGATCATCTGATTTCCTACATTTTGGCAACTTCGTTAACGATGTATTGCTATACACTGGGGGTGGTGTGGACCAATACTCGAATGTGACAGGCATTAGGTTCTTTATTTCTGTCTACCTGTTAATCATGGAATATGATTTTGCATTCTCACATTCTCTGTTTTACTTAGGCTTCTCTTGACCTTCACGAGTTGGGACAGCTACAAACAACAACTTATTGAACCAGATGTTCTAGTTTTCGTTTTCTCCCTACCTAGAGTAGAATAAAAGGGAGAAATCCACCCAGCAGCCATGTATACATTTGTACAGCAGACAGTGAAGCCCATCCTATTACATGAGAGCTAATCATACTGCTCGGTTGTCCAAACTCCAGTAGATAGAGGAGGGTATGAACCTATGATCCATCGGTTGGAAATCAATTGTGCCTAGACGAATGAGTTACATCATCACACTCGATGTGCAGAAAAACTGTAAGCTCTTTTAATAGAGGCAGTTCATTCCACTTACCGATCTTATGCACTGTAAAGTCAAACGAAATTTAGAGAAAGTAAAACACACAGGCGATAACACAAGTAATAAAGATATTTATAGTGAATGAGAAAATCTCTAAAAAATTAATTTTCAAACTTGTCTTACATTCCACACGAGTAGACAAGATACCTGGTATCATCATACGTTATGCATCAATCTATCGATTATTTGGATGAGTGTCCTCTGTATAATACGACTACATTTGTTCATGAGCCTCAGTGACCTCAATAGTTAACTGATAGAGCAAGTGAAACTATAGTTCATCAGTTTAAAACCGGCTCAAACTACCAATACTCAGACAAAATCCCAGGTTGGATACTGAAGGCTTATTTGGCATTCGCTAATAGTGAGTGAAATGAGTAACTTTAGGCGCAATATAAAGTAGTCTCTTCATCTATTGTACTATTTTTAATTTAGAATGCCATACAAAGCTTACGTGGCAACATACCGAATACCATTAGTGTAAAAAGCTTTCTGATAGAAAAATATTCAACTACATAATTTAATTTATGCTTGGATGCATTTGAGATGGAACTTATGGGGAGCAAGTGCAAATAACTAAATGTGAGATAGCTACTAAGACGAAAATACGGTACGGTTGGACTAGTGGAGAGGTGGTGTGGTAAGCCTTGAGAAGCTGAGTGGTATTCAGTACAGAACGACAGGTATCGTTCGCTCTAGTCTCGGCCTTTTATATGTAGACTGGGAGCAGCCTCCGCTTCTGAAATTCCGGTGAGGGAGATAATCTTCCGGGAAAATGAGCTGCATCTCTTCTGCAAGATTGTGGAGACTCAGTGAGATGTACCACACACACTTCTGCCCACGGGGAGGTGAGTACGGTCAAACGATCCGATTACCCGGCAAATGTGGATACATTGAAGCAACACAGTTGGGAGGGTTTTAAGATTCACTGCTCAGTTTTGAGGGAGTGTCAATAGAGTGCTGTGGCAGGGGTATTCGTTTTATGTAGTCGCATCGCTATAATGTTTCCTAATTGGCGAGAGGACCTATTCACCTGGTTTTTGGATAATGACGTCCAAACAGACGGCCTGGAACTGGAAGCTGAGTAGAAAATTGGAGTAAAACCCTCTTGAGGTAGCGGTTAAGATGAAAATACAGCATGGATGTGCGTGCATCACAGCGATAGATTATGGGCCAAACTGAATAGAGTTGCTAAAAATCAGTTGCAGTTAACTCGCCTACCATAAACACCCGCAAGTCTACATTTCAAAAACCAACAGCCAGAGATTTCCTGTACACAAACGGCAAACTGGCACAAATTTCACTTACTTAACAAGACATCTAACGATTCATTTTGTCCAAGAGGTGAAATATTTAAATCTTGCGGAAAATTGACCAATTCAACATCCTTGAAAACATGTGGCAAGAGAGTGGCGAATGTACGACAGAATAAACCGATGAAATGTCGTTTTTCCTCTAATTTTGCAGCATTAAATAACCAAGTCTAAACATACGAGTGAAAAAAAGTAAACGAGAAATACCATGTACATCTATCTATAGAAGGATTAAATAGGACGAATCAACTCTGAAACACTTATTAAGGTACACTTGATATCCTGTGCATAATTAGCGCATTCAACCAATTTTTAGATCAGCAAGAATACCTAACGAAATACTTGTAAACAGATGCTTAGTTCGTAGAAATGATGTTGGACTATAAATAGCTTGTGAAATGCACCAAACGGAGTGTCATTTGTCATCCATGAAGCTGAGGTTCATTGACTAAGGCAATCGATTCTAAACCACAAAAGTCAAGGGATCGAATCTCGCCCTGCTTACACAGAACTACCATCATACTGTACGGTAACTCAACCCGGTGTAAGATTATGTACTAGGGATCATAAACCACAATTATTGTGACAGATAATGATCCGAACCACTTGCTTATGCCTAGATCGAAGTAGCTAAGATGGTGTTTAAAGAGCGAACTACGCTACCCCACGTAGCATTAGTAGTCCCCACAAATTCAGTGCTGTTCATAACCAAATGCACAAACGTAAAAATAATTGACGAATGAATCTGAATACGCAGTAACAACTGATTCCAACTGACTGCAGGTACAAACGCCACTCCACCCACCGATGTTCAGATAACTGGGTAATACAACTTGGTTTACTACCTAGAGTACGAACATACAAATGTTCGCTGAGTTACACATTACAACGAACTTACATTAACTAGATAATGCAGTAGACATACTTGGCGTCATACATTTAACAGAATTGTTGACCTAAATATGACATGCGACCTCATAAATCGAAGGTTTCTGAAGCACTATACAATTGCAAGATTTACTGATATATATATATATATATATATATATATATATATATATATATATATATATATACTGAACTACTAGAAGCTTTCAAACATAATAGTTAAACCACGGTATTGCAGAAGAATGCGATCCCATATTCGATTAGCTACAACAGTATTCACTGGATGAGGTTTCGCGAATAAATTATTGCTCATAACCAACCACGCGCTTCTGACAGCACCCAAACTCCTTCAGATCATTAACCTTCCACATTTTCGCGTCCTGGACTTTCTTCAGACTCCTCGGTCAGTATTCCTTCGTAGTTTTTATTTCCTTTCACCTATATGGCTCTTGATTACGGTCTGAGTTCACGGAAAAGCACAGACGGTCTCCTGAAACCTCTCTTCAAACTGTGCATCGGAGCTTTCAATGTTTACACCTGCTGTCACACCGGGGAACAAGCTTTACAAGTCAAAACTGTAGCATTGTGGTCCACGGATGTGTTGTTTTTGTCAAACTTGCATACAAGGCCTAAGTGTAGTTATTTACATAACCTTAACCAAGTTTCTGGATATTCCATGGCCAATTTTCATGATCTTGTAGGTGTAGGTATAGCGTCAAGTCCTAAGGTAAAAGGCGCACTGCTCAACTAGGTCCCAAGTTGTGTCGACTGAGCACTGTCCAACTAAATGTCGCAGAGAAGACCAAAAAATGCTGAAACTTAAGATTGTATCTTGGTAATCTCTATTTACGTACCTATTGACTGCAGTTCAGATGACGTGAAAGATAAGTTATACCAAGAGTTGTCTAGCTTCCTACTGAAACCCAGGCTTTGAGAAATGGTTGTCATGGTAGGTGATTTCAATGCACAAGTATGTAAGCAAAGTTACGCAGAAAGACACTTAGGTGGTACTTTTGGAATCCTAACTGAACGGATGGACAAAGGTGGTGGTCTGCTAAAACCGCTTATTTTTGGTTGGCGTGAACTTCAGACATAAAGAGGGACACGGTCTCATGTGATGCCTACCGAACTTAATTTAACGGTGAACACAGATTATATTGGTATGAGTTATCGTTGATAATAGTCAATGAAAGATTCCTACCGTTTCCGGAGCAAGTGTTTGGATGGCGATCACGAATTGGCTGGAGTACGTGTGTAAGTGGATGTAAAACTATGAAAACTGAAAGACAATTCCGATAAGAGATCGATGACGAGGATGGTGAGGTTGCTTTCAGTGAGAAACTGACTAGAAAACTTCAGATGTCGTGAAGAAGCCTGGTGCCATCTTTAGTTTCATTTCAAAAAGCGTTAAGGACCAACATTCAAGCCAGTCGTATAGTGAGAATTTCAACCCCCATTGGTAAAAATATCGTTAAAGACCGTGACTGAACCTCAGAAACGGGTAAGAAGAGCTTGATGACCTCAGCAGCTTCTTAATCGTCTAGTGCATGTGGACACATTCCTGAAGGCTTCGATCACAATGAAGACTGCCTTCACACGTCTGTCAGGACTCAAGTTACTTTAGGTTGGTTTCCACGTTACACATCCTTCAAATCTTCTTTCATGTCTCTCGATCACTTATCCTACATCACCCTTAATTTGTTCCAGCTCTGCATCTCTCAGATTGTGCGGCCATATGTTGATATTTATCACGATGACGAAATTTGACTCCATCTTGCTTTCCCTTCCCGATATCAGTATTAAGTCTCCTACAACTTTCTCATCCTTTCGCCCTGCGACAATCGCCAATGACACAAGCCATCTTCTAAAACCACACTGCCGATTTATCATTGGGTTTTTCAACGTCCAAACTCCATACCAAATAGAACAGGCGTCTCTTGCCAAAACTGCGGAATCTCAAGTCGTGGGTGTATGCTGTGTTTTCGAGACACGCCAGAGAGGATCCGAATGTGGTTATTCAACTGACCTCACCTGATCAGTGGTGAGTCTGAAAAATCCACTTTACGAGTGTCCCGATATTCAACGGTTAGTTATCATGGACTCGCTGATATCGATACAATATTGAGTTGTAGAGGAGGAAGCGAAATCGAATGGGTACGTCAACAGCCGTCTCTGTGCTGTTCGACTGAATGGATCTGTAAGAACTAGGAAGGATTTTTAGGTCGACCTGTTCTTAATCTCTGCCAAGACACTCACCAACTGTAGTTTGGATGATGCAAAGGATGCATTCTGTGAAAAGCTGCCAATTTTGCTACCGAAAGCAAAATCTTCAGATGTCGTCATAATGACAGGTGACTTTAACGCTTAAGTAGGGGGGCTGAGACAGTTGGATAGGTATATTGGGGGTATTTACGGAATCCTATGCCAACGAACCGACAACGATGATCATCCCTTGCAATTTTGTTCTGACAATCACCTGTTTCAGGTCAGTACTAACTTTAGGCTTTAGGCAGGTTTTTACATAGCGTCCAGTCGACATCAAAACAAACGAATGACACAGATAGATTATGCTGCTATAAGCTATCATTTGAAGAGGATCGGTGAAGGATTGCCGCTCTTTCTAGAGTACTAGTCTGGACTCCGACCACACGTCAGTACGAACTTGAGTATGTCTGTGCCTTACTGTTCGCGGGAAATAGACGACAATAAAGTCTATCTGTGCTTGACTGGAAGATGAGGATGTGAAGTACGCAGTTAAAGAGGAGTTAGCTAAGTGTTTATCTGAACATGACAGCAACTCTTATCCTGACGTGATATTAAGTAAGCTGTGGAAACAGCAGTAAAGGCATTTGGCAATCTATCTCCGAAGGTTAGCAAACGTCATTGAAATTCCAAAACGTCATTCGAACTGATCGCTACGAGAAGACTGATTCCAGATGGCTCTGACCATGACGAAGAGCAAAGGCAACTTAGACGTAAGTTGACCAAGTCTTTGCGCCGATCACGAGCAGCGGTGGGCGAGGAAAGCAAGAAAAATGGAGAAAGCATCCGTGTTGCGTAACGCTCGCTAACTATTTAGGCTTATTAAAGATACCGAAGAGAAGACGATGATGAGTGAAACCATCACCAAAAAGGATGGGATGCTGATAACCACCCAGGAAATGCGCCTACAACGTAAGGCAGAATATTTTGAAGCACAGCTCAATTAGACCTAAGCAACGCTTCAGCTATTAAACCAGCTGGAACATGAGCCGGACATAGATATCAGTCTTTCAACCCCCCTTGAAGTTGAGAAAGCTGCATCGAACGTGCAACAAGACAAAGTAGCAGAACCTGACAGTTTTCTACCTGAAGTTCCACCGATGAAAGTAAGAAATTGCTGCTTAAATTGACGGAGGTACTAGGTAGTGCCGTCAGGCTGGTGTACTTCACTGATCACTCCACTCTATAAAAAGGGAAATAAGTTCCACTAATGTGTCCAGGACCCTACGCTGCGTAGTTATGCGACGCCTAACGGGAGCTCGAGAACAAAGAACTCGAGAGAACAAGACAGGTTTCAGATAGAGCTGGATGAAGGTGCATCGATCACACTTTTACCCCCCGACAGGTTCTGGAACACACGTATACTTACCAGCCGACGACCGACACTTGATATATTTCTTGACCTAAAGGTAGCATTCGACTTAGTCAACTGTGAGGTATTGCGGCAGTGTCTGGCTGTGAAAGGAGTACCAAGCAAACATAAAATACTAATCAAAGCTTTCAACGCGAAGACATACAGCTATGTCAGGGCTTATGGAGAGTTGTCATGTGGAATGACGACAACTGGTGGTGTCCGCCATGAATATCTACTGTCACTGTTCATCCTTAACTTTGTTATAGATGTGCTAATGGTAATAACACCAAGTACTTCTGACTTTACAGGGATTGCTCTAATCGTTGGAGGTCATCTGGTTGACTTGAAGTATGTAGACAATATTGTCTTGCTAGGTAAAACACTGACGAAATGCAGGGTCTTCAGAACGTATTAAGCAGAAATCTGAGTATGTTTGGCCAGCATGGGCTTCGCACCTGTCAAATGTAAGGTGATGCTTCAGAACTGGTCTGTTGCAAGTACTCCTAGCCAGTTTAGTGATACGGAGCGAAGTGGTGGAATGTGTCGACCACTTTACTTACTTGTGGAGTTGCATCAACCCGAACGGGTTGGTTTCTGACGAAATCTCAGCCCGAATATAGTAGGCCCGCTTGACATTCGCCAACTTGAGTCATCTACGGCGTCGTCTGGCGAGATATCTGACCAGCGATTAAAAGATGAGTATTCTGCGCTGTATTTAAGTATCCTATTGTACGGCTATGAGACAAGGTCGTTAAAAGTAAACCTTCCATGATTAAAGTTTTCCCTATAGGTGTCTTCGTTAAACTTCTCACGCTTAGTGGAATTATCGTGTGAGCAATGTTGAGGTGAGACAAACGGTACTCGACAAGACAGGCAAGTCAATTGATGAGGTTGTGAACCTTAGTTGACTGAGATGGCTTGGACATGTCCTGCCCATGCCAAGCCACCGCCTACCTCGACATGCAATGGTGGAGAAGGCCATGTTAGGTTGGTTTAGGATGGCCAGACCAAGACGTGACATCAGTCGACGAAGTCCCCTGACTGTTGGTTTGAGAGGTATAGGGAGATGCAGACTACCTGGCTGGAATCCCTGAGACGATGAGAAACAGTGGTTGAAATGGTAAAATGGCTGAAAATCGACGACAATGGAGCAGATGTAGTCAATCGTTGACAAATCCTACAGCTTGAATATATTCGCACTAACCTTTACTTTTAGGCTGTCTATTCTCTTACACTACCTTGATATCATTTTCTATCCATCTGTTCTTTTTGCACTACTGTGAAGTGCGACAACGTGAGGCGGTGCACCTGTGTGAAGTCCTACGGTGATTTTGTCAGTGTCGTTGTCAGTCACGAATATTTTTATGCCGCACTGGTCGCAGGAAACAGACAGCAATGAAGCCTATATGTTCGACTGGAAAATAAGAACACTAAGTGTGTATTCAATGAGGAAATAACTAAGCATTTGTTTGTACATGGCAGCAATTCTCTTTCTTATGAAGCTTAGCACAATATTCAGTTCTCAAAAATAGTTGCTAACCTACATCCAAAGTTTATCAAAAGTCAGTGGGATTTCCAAACCTCATTTGAACTGATTGATGTTATGAAGACTCATTCCAGCTGGTTTGGACTACAATAAGTATTGAAAGTAGCTGGAACGTAAATTGACTAGGAATCTTCACAATAATCATGAGCAGTGATGGGTGGTGAAATTGAAAGAGATAGAGGAAGCATCAGCAATAAATAATACTCGGTACTCATTCAGGCCTACTAATCGAAATCGGAAAAGTTAAAATCACTCAACAACCTCGTGCACGCTCATGTAGTAGGCAATGGTCCACATCTGCTGTGTGAGGGCCAACCATACTGCGTGGCTACCAAGACTTGGGAGATGGAACGGAATGCCAACCCGTGACCGACTAGTTCAAAGTCAACTGCCTAAACCAATGCGACAGCTTTCCAGGCTTATTAAGGACACTAAGAAGAGTGAAACCATTACCCTAAAGGATTGATCCGTGATAATCCCTTAGGACAGATAACACTACAGGGTCGTCAGCTAAGCACACTGCGAACACACTCTTTGAGATGACGAGAATTTACTCAAAACACCACTGGAATCTCGTATGCAGGTCTCTGAAATACAGAAGAGATGAATTTTGAGGTTTTACAGAGACCGAGATAAACTCCCATTTTGTCCGAACAGCATCAATGTCTGAAAGTTTAAGGTCCCCAGCTTTGACACTGTGCCCGGTTCAGAATAATTGTGTCAGGATAACGCAATGAATGACAGCTCTCTAGAAACAACTGTTAAGCGACTCAAAGTGATATAGATAAAAATGTTAGTCACTGACAATTACCTTAATTAAACAAAAATACACAAGAGGGTAAGCATGAAAATGATAACGAAAAGATGGAATAATTAACGCAAAGAATAACAACGATATGAAAGTAGTAGAATGAATTATTGAGCGGATAGTATGCAACAGGATGACTTGGTGGGCGCTTTGAGGTTTTCTTGCCAGTATTGATTAATAATCTTTATATGCAGTGAAATCGAACATCGTTGTCTCAAGGAACCACACCCCAGACTTTTGACGAAGCTTAAGCTACTGGCAGCGGAGCAACGTGAGGTGCAGTACTGTCGCGGTTGCTAGCATCCAATGCAGGTTCAAAAGCCATCCTTCCGTTCTGCATCAGATAGCCTATGTGCACCAATCGTTAGGAATAGGATTTTTTGATTCACTATTCGTACCCTTTAGGTATACCAATTTGATGGTAGTGTCAAACGTCCCCTTTCACCCTATCACTTTTTAGAACACCCCCGTCCCGTTAGGTTAGTTCTGTGAACGGAACTTCCACAGCAGAGTCAATGAACATGGGTAACCTGAGAGCATCTCAAAATGATGACCGGGATCTTCCAACCTAATCCTATTCTGACTAACATCGCACGATCAAATGTAGATTCACAGAAAGCAAACTATTTGCTATTATTATTCTCCATTGGGATGTTTACTTCTTCAAGACAGAAAGTGTCTTGTATACTGAAATTCACATTTTATCGACTAGAGACATACACAGATGGCAGTTTCCTTTCATAGACCTATTCAGAAGTATAACGTTCCGGTTAGCTGATATGAGTAAAAAACAAGGTAATCAGTGTCAACAAAAACAGTAACCTTAGTGGAACTACGTAGCATATAGGAACTCACTTAGGAACATAAAGGCGAACTAACGATAGACAGCATAAAGAGTGAAAAATGAAGGTAGAAGAAGGGTGAAAAGCAAAATGTCCGAATATCCTAAATCTAGTAGATATTGCCGGGGACACTGAGTGTTTCTTATACTTAAGGATCGCCAAAGATAAATGAGTACTTATTAGTCCTGAAATTCAAACAAAGTCACAAGATTTTATCAGATGTTCGATACACGAGCCACTAAACGTAAGACCCAATCAGGTTCCACGTGTAGCAATGCCTAAACTATAACAGTTTTCAAGTATCACTCCTGGACTCAAGAGACCTTAAAATTCATATTGCGTTCCACATTACTTGCCAGAAGAAAACGAACCAATCTGCAATTTATGTGTAATACAATCATCAAAACCAACTAACTTTATTCTCTGTTATGATTTGTAGCTCATAACTTGGTTGATTTCTAGTGTCTCTGCAGTCGATCCTCTTCAAGTTTTTTGCATTACATAATAGTATTTTCTTTAGTTCATTTTTGTCAGTAACTTTGATCAGGTAAACTTGAATGCTTGTAGGCTTCGTCAAGGAGACTGAATTTTATTTCATTTTAATCTGCATATCATACTTGTGAAAACCACATGCTTCTGTTTGTGCTTGCTTTGATGAGCAGAAATAACTCCTACTGATGCACCGACACGTTCATTAATCGGATAGAACGTTTTTGAGAGTTGAGTTGACAAACTTTCGGGCATATTTACTTATACGTACGTTTTGGCGCCAAATCATTCCATTCAGATTGCCACCAATTTTTCAAGTATGTTAAAACACGCTGACCACTTTGGTGATTAATAATTTCTTATTACGATAATTATATTTAAAAATATATCATTTTCGTCGAAAAGTAAGTTGTTTTTTAAAACTTAAAGCAGCGTAACTCATCAACTTCAAATACCGAACATGATTGGCTGTCTGCTTGTTTGACCTGCCTGCATTGGATTGATTGCAACGGTCTGCTTAAGCCACTGCTATCTCGTCTATGCATTAGGCCTTCCCTATCTAGTCTGAATAAGCTATTATTGCTAGTATACAGCTAAGCTAAGCTCCCTTTGTGTTGTTTAAAGGCGTAAGTATTGTTTGCAATGCATATTGACTACAAGCACATATTACCATTATGCGATTTACGCATCTGATTCTGTATTAATATTTCCAGGAAACTGAGATCAAACCATGAATAAAATTGTTAAAGACAAAAATAAACCGAAAGGACCAATGTCGGCATATGCCTGCTTTGTCCAAGTTATTCGAGAAGAACACAAAAAGAAACATCCTGGTGAACAGATAGTATTTTGTGATTTTTCAAAAAAATGTGCGGAACGCTGGAAGGTTGGTAACCGTTTTCATAAGATCAACCTTAATATTTTTCTAGCTGATGACACCAAAAGAAAAGAAACGATTCGAAGATTTGGCCGCCATGGACAGAGAACGATTCAACCGAGAAATGAGTGACTATGTTCCTCCAGATGGCATAAAAAAAGGGAAAAAACGAAAGGGTCCTAAAGACCCCTCGGTGCCTACACGAGCATGGTCTGCCTTCTTTTTCTTCTGTGATGAGTTTCGTGCCAAAGTCAGGGAAAATAATCCAGATTGGAAAGTTGCTGATGTTGCCAAAGAACTTGGTCGTCAATGGGAGACTTGCCAAGATAAAGCCAAATATGAACTTCTAGCTCAGAAAGACAAACAGCGCTATGAAGAAGTATGTTGCTTCCTTTTTTTTAATATGCTATTTTTAAAACATACTTGGATTCAAAGTTCTTTATTCCTCATTGAATTAAAATTAACTTTTATTTCAGGATATGATAAAATACCGAGCAGGTACATATGTCCCAGCGCGAAAAAAAGTTGCCGGTTCAGTCTCAAACTCCACATCGTTAGCAGGATCTGAAACACAGAATCCAGATTGCAGTACAATTACAAGTGGCGTTGGTGATGAGAATGGTGCAGAACTAGAGGATGAAGATGATGGTGAACCTGACGAGGGTGAGGAAGAGTGAATTTGATCAGAAACAATAATAGGTTTTTTTTGTTGAGTTCCATACACTTTGATAACTCAATTGTACAGGTTTTATTGCATTTATGATGTTTTAATCCCCTATCCTCAACTTCAGTTCCTTTCTAAACTTTGTATACATTGGTTTTTCTTGTTATTTTTGTATCATTCATATGCTGAATGTACATTAGTAATTCTGTTTTAACTTTCTTTTATTGTGTTACGTGAGATTCTAACACATTATTCTTATTCTTATTGTCCATTATTGAATGTTAAGTTATTGTAATTTGAAAATGTTTCTGTTACTTTACAGCTAGACTTTTTCGATCCACAAAATATGTCTGATTTGGTTGATTATAGCATCAGGTGTATGTAGTTTCCTCGGTGACTGGTTAAAGTACGTAGACTATAAGTCGATCTCACTATGCGTGGTCTCCTTCAAAATGTTGTTAACTAAGTGTTATTAGGTTGTGGATTCCGAGAGTTGAGCCCCATTTCAACGTTTTGGTGATGTCAACAGTGAACACATAGGATGATGATGGTTTGGTGCTCTTTGAGCTTTGATATTTTGTCGTAAACACTTCACCATACTTGATGATATCTTCATGGGTGTTATGTAACTGCACTTTCACGTAGTGGGGGCTTCATGTTGGCTTTTACTGTATTACCTAGGGCATGTTTTACACTGAATCGGTACCGACTAGCGTGGCATAGACATGTAGCGAGTAAACACTTGCCTCAACACCTCATGTTAACAGAATTATGATTAGGTTTGAGAAGAGTTGTGGTCGGCCAGTTGGGCACGTGATTCTAAGTCATAAATTTTCCGACTTGTTGTTTGAACCATTGGGCTAGTTGTGTAAGGTCTTCAATGTGAGGAGAAACGGTGGTTGGGAACACGATAGCATGGCTCGAAATAGGACACAGTAGTAGGGATCTATGCGTGTTATATCACCCTTAAGACTGAATGTCCTCACCGACTTCCATGTACCCGTTACCTCTGTCGTAGGCCTTTTTCTGTGTTAATACCATTCAGTTTCTGTTCGCTACCCTGTTGTGTGTTACTGTGATAACTTGAAGTGATCCATTTCTGTGCAAGCTTTAACGTATCTTTTGTGCTGCCTTACACTAAGAGGCTAATAAGTAGTCCACCCAGCACACTCCATAGGACTAGATGGATTAGTAACTGCTGCTCTTAAATACAACTGACCGGTAAAGTAACACCCTCATCAGAAATATGGTAATACTTATATAAGACACAGATCTAAAGGTGATAGCTAAACGCATCATCTCGTTCTGCCGTAGTAAGCATTGCGCATATACCACATGATTATAGTGTCTAGGATGTTTCACCGGGTGCATGTGTGGTGGGATGAATCTGTTACCATCAGATGAATAATCTAAACGGAGTGAGCTGCTCTTTGTTCTGGAATGCAACCATGAAATAGGGTTTTCGAGTATTTTATACCCTTGTTGTAAAATAAAATTTACTGAAGTCAGTCTTAAAGAGTTAACTTGGCCATGCCTATTGCAGCTCATCTGGGAACTGTCAGACTCATCAAAAACATAGGAGAAGCTCACTGAAACTAGCTAACACATTACTGGTTTCAACCAGATTTTCTTATGCACATCCTGAAGGTTAACGTATCTGAAAGTAAACATTACATCTTAAGTTTGTTGCATACCTTCACCAGAACAGGGGAGATAGCTCGGCTTTACGTAAATCGAGAATATACCTTCAACCATGCTTATGGGTGGAAGTTATCGGTACCCAAATACTATAAAGGTATGAACTTTAACCGGTTATCTACTGTCAAGATGAAATCTTGACAATAAATAACATTGCCTCTAATTCAGCTGCTCATTGTCAGGATTTTTTTGTAAACTCACAAAAATCAGGCATTCCTGTCTCTACAGAACACTGCTTTGATGTACGAAGATGGTATACCGAAGGAATTAGCTCACTGATGTGACTTTATTCTGACTGACCGAAAGTAGTCCAACTGAAAAACCCGGTACAGCTTTATGTAAGGAGTCATACCTATTTTTGTAAAGGCTTAATCAGGTAGAATAGGTGGAGATTGAATCTCAAATTCATTGGTTGAACACTGAGTTATATATGTATGCTGGACTAGAAGATAGTTCTATATGTGACCTGCATTAGATTTCATTCTTTTTCAAGAGCGATTCTTCAAAGAAAGCATTAAGTTGCTTCATAAAGTCCTCACCACATCTTCAGTATGGCGAAGAGTCTTTTTTTACTAAATGATGTAGCATTCGATGGGTTGAACCAACAACTTCCACAGCTCCCTAACATCTTGGAACAAGTCATTCTCTGAATGATAATTTGACAGAATACATGATGTTAAATCGGTAGCATAAAAGAAATTTACGTCTAGGTGAATTTTTCACGAAAACCATAATTCGTTTGTACTGTAACTACCAGTTGTTGATAGGTTTTCATCTAGCCTGTAGGTAGGTACGTTGTTGCAGGAGGGCGTGTAGATGAAAGTGAGTTTATTGGTGACCACGATAATCAAGAAGAGAAAAACGTGAACGAACGACTCAGCAGGTACAGTAATCTTTATTGAAGATTTTTCATGTTCTACCAAATTAGAATTTGAGATAATTATAAATGAATTAACGTTGTTGTTATATATCCTAGTAAATTTTACTGTCCTAGATTCTTTATTGGATGCAGTTCAAAGTCGCTTCACGAACTGTTGATATAAGAAATCCACCTAACTCCACGAAGGGGTTGTACGTCAGTATGCACTGACCTAAACTAAAGAATACGACCGTACTTCTAAACATCAGTAACATTTCGGTATCTATCAATTTAAGGCTTTATCTGATATTTCATAGAATGAGAAGAGATAAACTTTAAGTATTATATGCTTAAGCCTTAGTGTATAAGGCGTAGTTGGGACTGACGTCAGCTGAAGAACCTACGAGATCTGGACAGTCGTCTAGTCCTTGCATGGAACTCCTTAGCAGTGTGCATCAATGATCCGGTGAGGGATCGAACCTAGCACCTTCACGCTTTGTAGCGAACATGTTACCACTGAGTCGTAATGCACGTGGCTACACGTTTTCTTACTTCTGTCGATTTGCGATACTGTGCGACCTTCACCTAATGTCATCTTTCAGTATTCATCTTCATTTCCGATTGACCTGGTTGAAAACGTTTCGAAGATTACATTATGTGAAATGGAAGTTCATTGCATTATAACTAGTAATTGTGGTGGTATTTTTAATGACTAGCTGTTCATAGGTCCGCTACTAATCTAATTGTTGTGAGGAGGCGTATGTAGAATAACCAGTGTGAATACGGAGGCAGTGGTTCACTCAGTCAACTGAATAATCTGTGGAACAATAAGCAAATGGTAAAATGAGGCAGTTTGTATGTCCAAACGAGAAATTAATAATGAAATGAGTAAGGTTTCAAGTTGGAGTTATTTATTCACATTCTTTGAAATTTTTACTTCCAATTAGTAGCATATAGATAGTGAATGGCTTTTACTCTTCAGTCTTTTGTGTGAACTTGAGTAATAACACGGGTGAGTTACAACTCTGAGATGCCTTAGGATATAGAACTACTACAACCTAAGTTGTTACAACTCTCTTTATCATCAAACTTATTCAATCGAAAGGTATATTCTCTCTGTGTTTACACAGTTCATGTTGGCATTTTTGTTTGTTTTTTTGCAATTGAGTAACTTTTAAAGCGATCGAATGCGATGTTAACAGAGTTTTCATCAGTAAACACCTAGCTAATATCACATGTTGTATGAATTAAAAAGATTCTTCGCAAAGTCAGCAGCTTTCTGGTCAAGATATCGAATCATTAAGCCTATTCACCATATTTCATAATTTATATAGGTTTAATTCAATACTGAATACAAGAGTAGGAGAGTAATCATTCACTGAAGACTGACATATGCGCATATTTTGGTCTGGATCTGAGGAAGGATGTTCATCCTTAGTGTTACACGTCATTCTGGTTTCTGTTGTCAGCCAATAAACTTATTACTAGGTCAATCAACTGCCTACGCCTAATGAAGCAGTTTTGACTAAATTTAGCATATTAAGTGCATTCTATAATGCTACATTAGGCTATGAGATTATTTCTGGCTACAGACGCGCATTTATTTGTTCAATGTCATGTAGGTGGATATCAGAGATACGAATCATGTTTACCGATATATACTCGTGTGAGTGATGGAAACCCCACTGTGATTTTGGCATAAAATTTAGTGAATATAACTTTAAGATGCTAACAGATAATTTCTATCTTTTCAACAACCATCCCATTTTCAAAGACAATGGCGATTCTCGAACTTGCAACCCACTAGATTGAAAGTTTCATTACGAATGTTCACACTGGGAAGTGTCAAATATGATTCTTATTTGTTACAGGTCGTAAAACGTTGTGTCGGCCGGATGTAAATTACCGCCATCATCTGGCCTATAGACACGGTGGGAAAAAAACTGTAGACTAATCTCTACCAGATCGTAGTCACTCAAGTAAAAGCAATGTCAACATCCTGATATATTTGATTACGTATATGCAGTTAGCAAAACTCTACTGATCGGAAAAGAAGGTAACATTGAAAAAGCATAGTGAAAATGAATAAATGAGATGAAAAGCTCTGTCATCTGTGATATTTCAATGAAGCTTCTAGAAAACAGAAAATCTTGAAGTAGGCCAGGAAAGATGAGGGGAAGGAGTGAATTGCCTGGAGTTCAAAAATATGTTGATGAGCAGTTCCATCTGAATAAATATGTTTAGTGTGATGGCAGTTAGTTGGTACGAAATGTATTACACTCGTCATCAGTACCTACGGTGTCAAACCACTTGACGTAATTAGTTAACAGTGCCACATATCAATCACCGGCTTTATAGGCCTGGTTTGAAATAGGTATTGTTGTCCCAACTAACTGACCCTTTCAGATTTATAATTCCAGGTATCAAAAAGTTTAACCCTCATAGCAAACGAGCAGCGCTGAATACCTGTATTTAGTAGATTCTTCTTAAACACACTACTGGTATGTGTAAACGTCTAAGCTGTGAGTCAGGAACATACATTCTAAATACCAGTGTTAAAAAGAACCGCTATAGAAATAGTGGAGAATATTTATAGCTCAGGTGGATGGTCTTGGTTGAATTGGGTTGTTTAAACAAACCAGCTCAGAGAACACAATACAACTAAGAATATAGCTATAGGGCAGTCAATGACATCATCAAAACACCTGCAGAAAAAAAAAGTCAAACTCTATTAAGTAGCAAACGAATGTCAACACACATAC